TTTTTTTTTTTTATTATATTGCTAATTTTACAATGGTAAATTGTATTTTTCTATACTTTAAAGATAACAAAGGCGGGATTTAGTATTCACTGCAATGAACTTTCAATTTCCTAATGCCAATCTATCTATATATAGGTTTTTCAGATCAAAGTAACCATTTATCATTTCAAAATAACAATTTTTCTATTTCAAATTAATATTTTTGTCATTTCAAAATAACAATTAAAAAAAAAAAAGAAACAAAATAATAAATGATAATTTATTGAACTAAGATTAAAAATCAATGCAAAGTAGCCATTTTAAGAGTTATCTTCAATGTTTTCAATGCGTTAAAAATTGATGTAGTACAAAGATTTACGTTTTTCTTTTGCAGAAGTTCACTTTTGGTATTTTTTAATGTAATTGCTGAATTGCATTCTATTATTAATTCAATATAGTTTAAAACTTCGTCGGTCAGTTTAGACATTCTTTTACCACCTTGTTTTTTGTTTAAAACAACACCACCATCATTATTGTAACGTCTCAATACATTATAAACTGTATTTTTATTAATACCTGATATTTGCGCTGACTCGGCTATTGTTTTACCTTTTTCATATAGTTTTATTAAAATTTCTTTCTTTTCTAAGCCTATCTTGTTGTTTACTGTTGAAATACGATTTCTTCTCCGTTCAACAACTAAATTTTCCACATTTTCATCACTACTGCTATCAAAATTATTATTTGATTCCATAATTCTACCATAATTGGATCTTATTGAGGAAGTATTGCTCAAGTCACTGTTTAATTCATTATTAACATTGTCCATTTTGTTAAGGGGTGAATCACCCCCTTTTAATCTAACCAATGGAGAATTCAGTAACCAATAATAAATACCGATGATATCAATGATAAATAGTTATCATTGGTACAAGCCCATTGGTTGACAACGTATATAAATATATGTTTTTTTTTACGAAGATGTCTTTTACTAATTTTGTTTTATTAAATTCTAAAAATAGTGACAGTGGTGTAGCGGACGTAAATCCAACGAAATTTTTTATAAAATTTATTTATTTTTAAAAATTATTATTTTCTGAATTTAATTCCATATATACTGTTTTAAATATGATTGCACATAAATTTTAAAAATTAACATAGCACATTATGTGAATTAGTTTTTTAAATTATCATTCATCATTTTATTTCTAACTGCTTTTTTTCATTGTTATTTTGGAATGAAATATTGTTATTTTGAAATGAATTTAATTTATATTATTTAAATATAAAAATTATTTTATATAATCAATTATTCATGTTTTTAACTTAATATATTTCATTCTGAAGTTACAGTTATTAAAAAAAAAAATTTGAAAATGAGTCCCAAAAAATGGCCATTTGCGGGTAATGGGTTAATGACATTTTTTTTATTTTGTGTGATTTTTTTCAACTTAGTATAAAGAATAGTTTTTATCGCGATTATTTTTATTTTTTATTGCTAATTTAAGGATTTATTATTTAGAGGTTATCTAATTCTCTAGGTTCTGTAAATTTTTAATAGATGGCGCTGTATTACAATTTAATTATTTCGATATATTCACGTCATACGTTTGCAGTTATTCAAAAAAAAAAAAAATTTGAAAATGCATCCCAAAAAGAAGGCCATTGGTGGGTAATTGATTAAAGATGCTATTTATACAAAAAAAAGTCTTATCTCGACGAATACTTTACAGTGTGCAAAAGTGAGTCTCGAATAGGTTAATCTGTAAATAATCTTACCTGAATTTTGGCGGATTTGTCCATAATTTTATAAGAGGGCGAATCGTGATGGCCGGATGCTGCGATGACGGCGCCCGCCTTACGCGACACGCATTGCCCCATGTAAGATCGCCAACTTCGAGCCAGCACACTCTAAACGTATCAAAATTAACAAATCAAATCTTATTGTATTTTTTGGATAGATCGCTAAAAGCATCGTGTCCATTTAGTATTTCATATGTTAATTTATAGTAAAGAGTATCGAGTTAAAGGACACCATTAGTGTGACCGCTTGAAAAAATGGTAATTTTTCAAAATTTTTTGTAAAGAAAACTACTGCATGGAATGTTTAAATTTTGTAAGGAGATATTCGTGGGTATGTAATGAATAAATGACTAAATTCTTGGATCAAAAAATTAAGCAAGTTATTCGCAATCTCTCAAGGCCCAAATAAAAAAGGCCCCCACTGCTGCAGTTATAGCCACCTTCATAGTGCATGAAATCAAAAAAACCAAAAAGTTTATTAAACTTGAAGGAATTTCTCGTACCATGAACCTCGATCGATACGAAAAATTGAAATTTAACAAAATGGCGGAGTTTAAAAAAAAACGTTTCAAATTTCGCGCGAAAATTTGATGCTTTTTGGCTTGCCAAAATGACTTTCTTTTTTCGATCAAAAAACTGGAGGTTCATGGTATACAGAAATATATGTGAAAGAAGCTGCAACAAAAATCAAATCGATCGAATGATTTGTCTTCAAGCTATAACTACAGCAAATTTGAAAAATGTGGTTTCGAGAAAAACGCGTTTAAAGTTTTATTTGCTGATTTCATCGTTATAAATCAAGAAATATTAAATTGCTTTAACTCAAAAACTATTTGAGATATACACTTGAAATTTTATTGTGTTATTTTTAAAGGTATAAACTATCGAAATATGCGAAAAAAGAAAAATCGATTTTTTCAAAATTCCACGCTAGTAGTGCCCCTTAAATACGTTATTGAATAATGAATATACATATATATTCATTTTGTCCAATTTTAATCGTCGATATTGAAGATGTTATAAATTGATGATTGCCAAGCTGTAAAAAGATGTTATGCTAAAAATGAGGAAAGCTCATTAATCCACCAAAACTAGGCACCCCCATCACCATTCATCTATTAAAGACAAAAATAAAATGTGCTAGTACAAAGTTAAGTTGAATAATTATGTCGGATGATAATCACAAATAAATTTTGTATAAATACATTTATTTTTTCTTCTCACATTTATCATTTATTTATCATTAATTCTTAGAGTACTATGGACGCATATATGCGTTTGGTATAAATTACTAGAGTAGTCTATCGACGCATATACGTGTTTGTTAATATTAATGTAAAATAATGTAATGTTTATATTAATTAATTAAATTATATTCAGAAACAAAAACTGTAATTATTAAATATAATTTATTATTAGAATCTAGTTCAAATAAATCATTCCGTTTCTACAAAACATTTTAGTTAAAAGTATTTAGCACTCAAAGGGTTAAATCAGATTGCAACTTTGATATCATCCCGGAAATCAAATTTTCAATTTAACTTTGTTACTTTCCTTTATCTCGACTTTCTTTCTTTTTTTTCTTTCTTCAATTTTGCCCAATCTGTATTGTATACTTTCGTTTAAAACTAGCATCAGCGGAAACATTTAATCAATAGACGTATGTATATATACGTGCTTGTATAAAAGTCTTCTATAGTACAACCTAATCAATAATCTAATGCAATAGAAATTTCCACAAAAAGAAAAACAAAAACAAAAAATCATTTAAATATTTGTTATTGCTGTTACATTTTTATATCAATTTATAAATAATTTATTATATATGGTATGTAAGAAAGAAAATGACAATTAATGGAGAGTTAAAAGTCGATTTCGAATTCGTGACTGTTCCGCTTATACACATCCTTCGTATGTAATATGTGCAAGCAAATAAAATTGTGTATGTGTGTAGGTGTGCTATATACAGGGTGATTCATAAACTCTTGTCACCTTAATAGCTCCGAAAGTATGAAAGTAGCAGAAAAGTGGATGAAGAAAAAGTTGCATGAAAAATTCAGGACTACAATATGACATTAGTGTCTTTTTACTAGGTTGAGTCATATTTAAGATTTATTTGAATACTTATTTTCGGATAGCGGCTGACAAGATGAATCCAATGATGAGCAACATTAAATACAAAACCCGACAATGACCAATAAAAACTATTCGAAAAATATCTGTTCTGTCCGTTGTCGGAACAACTAAAGTATGACGCAACCCTGATACAACCCTGACGCGACCATGACACGGAAGAGCTGTATTATGGCCGGCTTGTTCGCCAGTTTTCATCTTCGTTGACCTTCAAAAATATTAATGTTGCACATCATTGGATTTGTCTTGACAGCCGCTATCCGAAAATAAGTATTAAAATATAACACTTTATTTAAAAAAACAAAGTTGACCAATAGATCTCGAAAATAACTAAACCTAACAAAAAAAATACTAATGTCATATTGTAGTCCTAAATTTTTCATGTGACTATTTTTTATCCACTTTTCTGGTACTACAGCAAGAGCTGGTGAATCAACCTGTATATATCGTACTCGTGTGGAAAATTCACTCCCTGCAATTCGAAAAGCGAAAGTAACGAATAATAGAAAGAAGAAAAAGAAGAAGAAAGAGAATAAAAGTATATTATATCGGATGTTATAGAGGAAAGTGAGAAGAAATGAATTTCCAAATATCCTTGTAGGGGACATGCGCCTTAAAATATACCATGTACGATTAGAGAAGGAAAGAAGAGAGAGATTATGTAGATTTACTGCAATCACACCTACATCATGTTCTGCATTATATACATGGTGTCACACGTCAAATTCGTACTTCCTTACTCACACAAAAAAAACTCCGTGTTGTTCGATCTCTCGGCCGATGAAGGATTCTTTGAAAAATGCTGTAATGAATAAAAACATTTATGTGTTTTTTGCGTTCATTCATAAGGAATGCTTTTAAGATTTAGCTATGGCAAATCATGCGTTTCCTCTTCGATCAAGAAAATTCTTCGAGTACACGAATATCGTCCCCCATCGGTTGTTCTTCCTTACATTAAATTAAAGAGAATTAAAGTTTGCTGATCGTCCTTCCTTCTCCTCCTCCTCCTCCTCCTCCTTTTTCCACTTCTTCTTTCTTTTGACATAGCTCCAAAAATTTGACAATACTCAAAGGTGTAAGCTAATAGATTTTGTTGTTTCGATCGATAAAAATATTCGCGAAAGAATGTAAAAATATAAACGTAAGGATTATTATCAGTGATAAATAAGTGAATTTACCTCTTCTCACGCAATTGAATCTCCCGGGTAGCGATCCGTATGAACTCGTGGTATGCATCATAAAACTCTGACGCAAGGACAGCTACAAAGGACGCACCGATCCCGTCAACATGTCACTACACCATGGATCCTTGAATTTCGATCCTTTCAAACGTAATGTCAGACTCCTTGATCCGTTAGAATCGAAAGGATTTATCGCACTCGGTCAGTTCGCGTTAGGTATCGCGTAGCCTCAAGACTCGACCGAACACCACCTGTCATTTGGATATATTCGATAGTATGGGACATGCGTCGTGATGTCACTCACGCTCGTTTCAATTCGACTCTATTCGGTTTTATTCGATAAAACTCGGTAAGACTCGCTGTCGTCACCGAAACGCTCCGAAATGTGATATATCTTATTGACGCTAGATAGAGCTACGATCTTATTTTTCGATCGTAACACCACCTAGTGATCGATTTCTTACCTAATACTTCTCATTGATTACTCGAAAGGTTATTTACCTCGATTAATACTACGATCCGCGTGTACGTTGGGTCAGTAGTTCTATTATTTTTATGGTTATAATGTAAATATTTTATATAATGTTTCAACTAATATATATATAATGCTATTTTATTTTATGTTGAACATTTTTTTTAGGTCATATCAAAATCCGACACCGGTGTTTGTCTTTCATGCATCTCAATAATATCTTTAACCGGTGAATAAGTTTAACTTTTATCAATTATGGACCAGAATATAGAAGAAAAATCATCAATTCCCTCTGTAATCATTCAAAAAGACGAAGACCGAAAAGAAATCATTATTTTTGGGCGAAATATTCTAGAAATTCCATGCTTTAGAAATAGTTTTTTATATGGTATTTCTAGTGGCATAGGAGGTGGATTATTAGGCTTTTTATTTACTAGTCGACCCAAATTTGCTATGCATTGCGGAATGGCTTCATATCTCAATGTAACAATTGGTTATTGGTTCTATTGTCGTTATAATAGAGCTTGGGAACAATTTAATGCTTCGAAAATGCAAGAAATATTTCACAGGGGTGCTATGATGGAAGGTACCGAGGATGGTCCTGAAATTATTGTAGATAAGGAACTGGTCGATGTCTAGACTTTTACCAATTCTGTAAATATTAGTTAAATATAATGAGTTTATGCGCTAATATGACCATTGTTACTTAGTGTAACTATACACACAACAATGTAATTATACATATTTATGTATACACAATATGTATGATGAATTCTGTATATATGAAACGTGAATACAAAATAGAATATTTTCGATTACAGATCTTTGATATACTATAATAACTTATACTACATACCTTCTAATAATTTATATATTTTCTATATACTCGTAGACAAACGTAAATATGGTGTTATTGTTTACTACTATACATTATGTAATTAATGTATTAACATCTGTAAACATATTTTCTCTTGTAAGTATACAAACATATTTTGTAATTATGACCTAAGAAGGACCTTTAACAATAACATTAAAGAATGTGAAATAAATTCTCATACTTCTTCTTCTTCTTCTTCTTTTACTACTTCTTATTTTTTCTTCGAGAAGAAGAAAGTTATTCCATTACAGTTGCCAAAGCGTATAATTCATCATATAAAAATTATTAAGTGAAATATATTAAGAATTGTAAACTAGAATAATGTCGCAGAATGATTCCAGCGAAGATGAGACAGATCTACGTACTCCAATGTTCCTTAGGAAAGGATCTAAATGTAGTCGTGGTACACCAGGTATAAAAATTATACAAAAATAACATTTGGGAAATGATATTTGCACAATCGTTCTTACTATTTCATTTAGGCACACCATCTTCTATTTCAAGCTCCATTATATTTGGTCCAATTCCGGATGACGTTCTTCGTGTTTGGAGCCAATTACCCGAAGCAATTCGCTTAGATCCTAGTTTAGCAATTTTTCAAAAAGAATATGATAGGATTCATCAAACCGATAGAAGGTATATATTTAACTCAATGCATTTAAATATATTAATGTAATTGTATTTCATATTTTTATTCATTTATCATGGTTTTAGATACTCCGATACAAAAAGAGATTGTTTAGTAGTGAATATGTCTCTTGGCATGCAACCAGCACAACTCGTAAGGTATTTGTATTTATTTTATAATTATATTTTAATTTATTATGAACACATGGAGTTAATTTCAACATTTTCTTTCGATCAGAACGCAACAAAATATTGGAGAAGAAGATACGATACAAGATGTACATGACCAAGAACATGTTCATGAAAAACAAAAACCAATTTATCGTTATTGCAAGTTAATAGCTCTCTCTTGTATTTGGCTGATATTTACTGTAAGCATTTTAAGTGTATACTTATTATTTTAACTATGACATATGCATTCATACAAATATATATATATATATATATATATATAAAACTTTATAATAGGTGATATTAATGGTCAAGACCGAGAAAGTGGAAAAAATGCATCAGATTTCCATTTCCAGCAATGAAATTCGACGTATCCTTTTTCATTTTATAAAAATTCTTTCATAGATTATTTATATAATGCTATAACTTTCTTTAAATTTATTTACAATCAGATTACATATTGCAAGGTTCGATTGAAAGTAAAAGGCTCAGCATTACGGTAGAAGGTTCATTATTGCCTCCACTTAAAGAAGATCTTAACTTAAATTTAACAAGTCATCATTTAAAAATATGGTTAAGCTTATTAATCAATGAATATAATGATTCAACTACTAATCCGTATGAATATACTGTGCGTTCAAAGGTAATTTTTATGTCTAAATATGTCATTAAAAATCGAGAGATGAAATATAAGTATTATATTTAAGAGAAAGTATAGCATATTAAAATAATTTTCAGAATATAAGCAATTATTGGATTTTACCTGTACTTCCAGAAAATTTAATGGATTTATTTCCCGCTCAAAAACATGAAAAAGTCTTTGAATTGTGTAACGTTGATGAAAAATTGATGGAAAATACAATATCTATAAATTTATGCACAGACTTAGAACATAGTTTTCCACTTTCAATTGCCTATGATTTATCCTCGATAAATACAGATGATGGTATACCATATGCTGCAGTTGTTTTATTTGGTCTATATATATTAATTGTATTTGAGGTAAAAAAAAAAAAATAATGAAATATTAATATATTATTATAAGTACCTAAAAAGATTAATTGCATCTATTTTATATTTTTAGATTGTCCACAGAGCTTTGGCTGCAATGCTTGCATCAACTATGTCTGTTGCAATATTAGCTGCATTTAATGAGGTATCCCTTATACTTATCTATTTTAAATAACTTTGTTTAATTCAATTGTTTATTTGATTTTTTTTTCTAATATTACTAGAGACCAAATATGACCGAATTAATTTCATGGATTGACATAGATACATTACTGTTATTATTTTCCATGATGGTTCTAGTTGCTATTGTGGCAGAAACAGGAATATTCGATTGGTTAGCTGTTTACGCTTACAGGGTACAAATTATAATTACTTATATTAAAATTATATTAAGGTAAATTATATTAATAAGTATATTTTTTCTGTATATTTCCATAATCAATAATATAATCTTTAGATAACTGGAGGTAAATTGTGGCCATTAGTAAATACTTTATGTTTTTTTACCACATTTATCTCATCATTTTTGGATAATGTTACAACAGTACTATTAATGACTCCAGTTACCATCAGACTCTGTGAAGTAATGGAATTAAATCCAGTGCCTATATTAACAGCAATGGTAGTTTATTCCAATATAGGTGGTGCCATTACACCAGTAGGTGATCCACCAAATGTTATCATTGCATCTAATCGCGATGTTATTGACGCTGTAAGTGTTACTACCGCAAAATGTGTTATATTGCGATATAAGAGCATATTAATATAATATCATTGAATTTTTTGATCAGGGAGTAGATTTTAGTACATTTACATTGCATATGAGCATTGGTGTAATACTAGTATTATTTGTGGTATATGCTCAAATGCGTTTCATTTTTCGTGATAAGGCAGTTTTAAGTTTTGATGAACCGCGAGAGGTGCAGGTAAGCGTGTGTGTGTGTGTGTGATCTTTCATGTTATAAGAAAATTTATATAAAACTCTTTAATCTTTTAATACACAAAATATATTTTTCTAGGAACTTAGACATGAGATAGCAATTTGGCAAAGAGCTGCAGCAAGTCTGTCAAGTTATAGTAAAGATGAAAATTTAGTAAGAGAAACTCTGTTAAAAAAAGTACAACGCTTACTTTCACAACTTAAAAAAAAACTAGTGACCGGTAGCGTTGCTTTTGAAAAATATAAAACTACGCTTGAAGAACTAGAAGAAAAGGTATTTAAACATCGTTTTACACAACGATTAGAGATATTAATAATCATTTGTATATTTTCAGTATCCCATAAGAGACAAATGGTTGCTAATGAAATCAGGATTTGCATTAGTGTTTGTTATTACGCTATTCTTCCTTCATAGTGTACCTGGGATGAATTTATCATTAGGCTGGACCGCGTTACTAGGTGTACTTTTGTTACTAATATTAGCAGACGGCGAAGATTTAGATGGACTAATGGCTAGAGTCGAATGGAGCACTTTGTTATTCTTTGCATCATTGTTTATACTTATGGAAGTAAGAATGGAGAACAAAAAAAGATTTATATTACATAATATTACTAAACATTATATTGTTCAACATATATAATTAATGTTGTGATATAATAACAGGCCTTGTCTCGTTTGGGTCTTATTGCTTGGATAGGAAAACAAACTGAAAGAATTATTTTATCCGTTAATGAAGAATCCCGTTTAGCTGTAGCTATACTTTTAATCTTGTGGGTATCTGCATTTGCAAGCGCATTCGTTGATAATGTACCATTGAGCACGATGATGGTAAGAATAGCAATAAATTTAGCTAAAAATCATGAACTTAGATTACCATTACAACCTTTAATTTGGGCATTAGCTTTTGGTGCTTGCATGGGAGGTAAGTGGATTTCTAATTATGGATTGTCTTAATCCTTATATTACTGGTATTTATGTGTTTGAATGGACGGTTCTGGTATTTACAGGAAATGGAACTTTAATTGGAGCTACTGCAAATGTTGTTTGCGCAGGAGTGGCAGAACAACACGGATATAAATTTACTTTTATTCAATTTTTAAAGTAATCCTTTTCTTTATTAGTTTTTCTTTTTTCCTTATTATGTTATTCTCTCTGTGACTTTTTAATGTTTTTTTTTTTATTCAGGGTTGGCTTTCCCGTGATGATCACAAGCACTCTGACAGTAACTATGTACTTGATGATCGCTCATGTTATTTTTGCTTGGAATGGAATGTGAATATTCTCTTTGCAAACTAATAATGAAGTAACTTTAAACTATATTTATTTACAATCGTAACTGTTATAAGTATGTATATAAGTATGTATAATTAACGGTTTTTTGTAACAAAACATTTATAGTATCAAAATATTCTTAATGCCAAAACAATATATGAATATATTTAATAAAAGGAAGTAATTTTCTACAGAAAATAAATAATATTTTACATATTGATAATAATTATTATTTCAAGGAATATTTGACTTTTGTTAACCTTATTATTATGCACAAGGTTGACCAACGTTGTTATTAATTGTTGCACAATAGAAATGCATAATTATATCCGAGCGCACATAAACATTGTTTCAATTGTTTCAAGTATATAAAGAACGATAAAATAAATTAAACATAAGAAATTGGTAACTATTACGAACGGTCACATGTAATTTAATTGAAGAAAATATTACACATGTATCGATCAAAGATACCATAGAAACGCGCCATAAGCTCGTATCGTCGACAAATTCATTCCGTTGTCAAATCAAGAGGTAAACAAAACGGAATACATGCATGAGGATTTTTCTTTTCCGTTTGCACCGTTTTTTGTTTTAATCTTTATTAAAGTAATAGAGGAGATCAATTCAATTTTATAATAATTGATATTTGCAGTTAAAAATTGAGCTACTCATATGACCAACATGCCTGTCGATCAAATTCAGTATTCCGAAAGATACACCGATGATAATTACGAATACAGGTTAAGTTTGTTGATTTAATGAGAATTTTATTGTTAATAGAAAATTTATTTTATGAATTAATTTAAAATATTCAAAAATCTGCCTTATTTGTAGACACGTCATTCTTCCTATGGATATAGCGGTACATGTACCTAAAACACATTTAATGTCGGAAACTGAATGGCGTAATTTAGGGGTTCAGCAAAGTCCTAGGTGGGTTCATTATATGATGCATAGTCCAGGTATGTTATTTAATATGTTGCAAATATTTATTTTACATATTATATTAATTTTCATGAATTCTAAGGATTATTGTGTGTTCGCAGAACCACATGTCTTGCTTTTTCGTCGGCCAAGAAATCAAAGAGGAAAACGTCTAGTGTAACAAATAAATCTTTTTATATAAAAATACGTAATTGATGAACTTTTTTTTTGAAGAGGAAAAGTACATTTATGTATACTACTTACAGCATATATATACAGTATATATATATATATATATAGATTTATATACATATGTTTGTGCATGTACATACAGTGTAAAAATAAGTAGTTTATATGTAAATTTTTAAGCAAATAATTATAAGCATTAATTTGTTTTAAATATAAATTAAAGTGCCTTTGTATTTTATGATGATAACGATTTGTTAGTTATCTAAGTATTTTGCTTACAAATATATATTTAAATTCCAATGTATTGAGTACTTTACATAATTTTTTTTATTAAATTTTGGTTAACATCTTCATTTATGAATATATTATATATTCCATATTTACTTTAATTTTAGGTGAAGAGACCACACATAATGGATACACGTATCCATAGATGATATATGAATACAATAATAATATGCAATCTATTACTCGTATCGTACAACGTCGTTAACAAAAGTTTGCATGGTAAAAGCAGGAAAAATTAAATATGGATAGGCAATAAATAATTGTTATTTTTCTACTTATCTAATATAATATTAATTCTATATATTTAAACAGTTCACTAGTTTATTCTCATGTGTTATTAAACAGGAGCTTTTTCAACGAGCTTAAACCAATATCCACATTCACAACGTCGTGGAGTTCCTTGGTGTAACCACATCCAGTTTATATGCGAATGATCTTCTTCGCAGATACATCCAACCAAACGACTGTTAAATGCACTTGGTACCAGATTTGGACATTCTTTTGTGCCAGGTCCACGTTTTGTAACGTTCAAGTTAAAAGGATCCTGAGAATACGACAAATGATCTATTATTGAGTGTATTTGGAGGAATATAGAGAAAAATAATCAATACAATTTTAATAGAAGACAATGTCAAACAATACAAGTATGTAATATATCAATGAACTAATAATATAGAGTGAAAATGATAGAGATCATATATTGACGTAAATGATAAAAACTTACTTCTTCGCCAGCTAGATGAGCAAGTTTTTCTCGTTTTTCTATTCCCGTTGCATGTTCCAATGGATCAGCACACTCTGCAAATGACACAAGAAATTTGACTATATCAGCAATCTCGTCAGACAAGACAGTAAAGCTCATACTTTGAGAACTATCAATACATTACGTAATTAAGAAGTATCTAATGTGAAAAGAATAAAAATGATAATAAAATTGACAAATAGATTTAAATGAATTACCCCGTCTGATATATCTTGGTGCACTGTAAGATATTGAACGTCTACATGTAAGTAGAATCGCACGCCCATAAGAACATGCCATTTTGCAAATCTCTATTAAATCCTACCGTATACTCTTTTAAGCCTTGGACCGAAAATGAACGGCCTGGTTCAACCATCTAATAAAAAAGATTTGCCACTTTATGCGTCATAGGATGACCATCGACATTAGCGCCATTTGCAGTGGTGGAAAAAAATTGTACTATGCTTGACTCGTGTTGTAAACTAACCGTAGCAAGCTCGTGTACAGAAAAAGGGCGCCAATTTGAAATTTGAAATTGAAGATTCGTTATGTTAGAAACGCGGGAAAAACAATGGCGTTCTTTAACTATGGAAACGTTCGTTAAATCTCGAAAAAAAATAAATATCTTAAGTGATATTTATTAATATTAATTAATATTTAAATGCAAGCGATGGAAAATACGTTTTTTTCTCGTCAGTTAGATGTTCTATCGCATATTATTTACAGAGCTTTACCCTTCTGTCACATGAAAGACCGATGTACCAACTATAGTTCTACGTAACTTGCGCCAGTGAGCGACGGGTGAGCGGTTCTTCGGAGACGATTGGTAAAAAGACAAATTAAAACAATTAACTCTGTTTACAAGCTTTCATTTTTATTTAATATAATAACAAGTGCACGATAATTACATTTAAATCAGATTTCAATAACGAATATCAAATATTATACAACATTACATTAAATAAGAATTTGCGCGTAGTTCTATAAAACGATTTAAGATAATATTATTATAGATGTTTAATCAATTTTCAATTTTTACAAGTTGCACGATAATCGTCTATGATAGAGAACGACTCTTAAAGGACCTTAATAAGAAGATATTGTAATACTTTTGTCCGAATCTTGATAGAAGGAAGAAGAACAAGTAGAAATTATTTCTTTTAAAATGGATAAACCAGTTTCGTCGGATATCGTTTTAATAGCGGGTAATTCACATCCAGAGTTGGCTAATCTAATCGCCAAGTAAGTTATACTTTAATCTTCTTTACATTTCCATCTTTTTACGTAAGAGATAATTATGTTGATTAAATATGTTACATTTTAACATATTGCCTAATGAATATTTAACGATAGTTGAATATATTCCAAAAATTACTTATCATTTAAAATACTTTTGTTTACAATTTGATAAACAACTATTCTCACATTAATGTATTTTTTTGTTTTTCTTTTTTTTTTTTTTTTATATCCTTAAGTCGCCTTGGTGTAAAGCATGGTGGATGTTCCGTATACCATAAATCGAATCGTGAAACTATGGTTGAAATAAGTGATTCTGTACGAGGTAAAGATCTATATATAATTCAAACTGGTACAAAAGATGTTAATAATAATATAATGGAGCTGTTGATAATGGCATACGCATGTAAAACATCATCTGCAAAAAATATTGTCGGAGTAATTCCTTATTTACCTTATTCTAAACAATGTAAAATGCGTAAGCGTGGTTGTATAGTTTCCAAACTCTTAGCAAAGATGTTATGCAAAAGCGGATTAACACATATAATTACTATGGATTTGCATCAAAAAGAAATACAAGGCTTTTTTGATGTTCCTGTAGATAATTTAAGAGCCAGTCCCTTTTTATTACAATATATTCAAGAATCTGTGAGTACGATTTCTACTAATTTCAATATTTTACTCGCATAGTTATATTCTTCTTCTTCTTCTTCTTCTTCTTTAAGTTGAATCAATAATTATGGGATATCTATTACTTCATATTCTATATTCCTGCCATTATTAGATACCTGATTATCACAATTCTGTAATCGTTGCAAGAAATCCAGGAAGCGCAAAAAAAGCAACTAGCTATGCAGAAAGATTGCGTCTAGGAATAGCAGTTATACATGGAGAACAAAGAGAAGCTGAATCGGATATGAACGATGGACGTTATTCTCCACCAGCACTTGCTTCAAGAACGATGGAGGTAGGCGTGGGTGTACCAATGCATCCTGCTAAAGAAAAGCCTCCAATTAATGTTGTAGGAGATGTGGGAGGACGCATTGCCATTATGGTGGTAAGAAGATATTTTACAAATTAATACGTACACAATTAATTTCTTATATAATTATATATTTATTTTCATTTCATTAGGATGATATGATAGATGATGTACAATCTTATGTAGCTGCCGCTGAAGTACTTAAGGAAAGAGGCGCATATAAAATCTATGTGTTAGCTACTCACGGTTTGCTCAGTTCTGATGCACCTAGACTTATTGAAGAATCACCAATTGATGAGGTAATGAATTCTTTTACATTCCATTTTAGCAAAGTCAAATCTTTTAAATAACATAAAAAACATTTACTGTGACAAACTAACTGGATTTTAATATTTTTTTTAGGTTGTTGTTACCAATACCGTACCTCATGATGTACAAAAAATGCAGTGTCCAAAAATCAAAACTGTTGACATAAGCATTTTACTAGCTGAAGCTATTCGGCGCATTCACAACAAAGAATCAATGTCTTATTTATTTAAAAACGTTACATTAGAAGATTGAAAATATGTAGATATTTGTATAATTTACAGTCAAAATCTAAATTTAGCAAAGAAAAAATTCAATTTCAATTAAATGGTTGAATACTTCATATTATTCAATATTGGGACAATGTAAAACATATCTACGTCTTAATTATGCATACTATTTTTATAACTCACAAATTATTTCTTAAAAAGGATGAAATATTTTAATTACCAACAGATGTAAGTTTATTTCTTACACTTGACATTTCTAAAATTTGATAAAATATTCTAAAAGTTCTATAAATTCGATAAACAAGATAAAAAAAAAGGTATGCCATATAATATAATTTATATTTTTTAACTTAATCACTCAACTTGAACGAATTTCTAATTTATTGTTTATTATCCATGAACGAAATTATTATATTGTTTATTATCCATAAACAGAATTATGTCCATAAAATCAGGATATTTTATTTAAAAATATACAATTTTTAGAAATTAATTTGGTATTAATGTAGTTTCATTCGTGTTAAAAAAAATGACATAATAATTATTGACTTGTATAAAATATGAAAGTATTTTTATGTTTTGCCATATCAAGCTTATGTTAATAATGTTATTCATATTTTACATTCTTAAAAAATATTATGTATTTTATTATCCAAAATGTGAATAAATGTCTATTATTGAATTAAGATTCTGAGTTTAACATATATTTGTAACAATGTAAAGAATTGATGCATGTCGATGTATGTATGTGTTAGAAAAATTAGCAGTTCAATACATACGCCTGTAACCATGGTAATAATTGCTGTCCGATTATATTTGTCTTCTTCATTTGATATTTGTTTTTAATATAGTTCGAAGCTGACTATAAACAAAAGTGTTTAATTAAAAACTAATAAGAAAATATTATTGAAAGAAAAATGTCACTGGAAATTGAAACTGAAACTGAAGCTGGTTTAAATAGAATTTGTTTGTCATTAGAAGCTGAGAATAAGGAAAGAAGAAAACGTGTTTTGAACGAAATTCTAAAAGCAATATTTGAAAAAGAGGAAATTTTGGATACTGACAATCTATTAAAAATATGGGATAAATTAAATAGACCATTGATTAAATTGTTAAATGATCAAGCAGAAGTTTGTCGAGATCGTGCCGTAGAACTATTAAAAAATTTTTTGAATTTATTGACTCCGCATGATAAACATATTATTTATGTGATTCCAGTATTATCAAGACGCTTAAGTCCAGAAGAATATATAGAACCATCCGAAGAAGTAAGACTAAAATGTATTACTCTCTTAAAAGTTATTATTTTAAAATATAAAGATCATATTTCTATATATATGGATGAGATAATAGGAATTCTTGCAAGAACTGTTAGGGATAAGTATCCCAACGCTAAAAGGGAAAGCTGTGAATGTATATCAGAATTAGCAAAAATTGTACCTAGGCATTTTTATACCTATTCTGAAACTTTAATAAAACCAATATTAAGTAATTTTAGTCATCAACATTATAGAGTCAGAGTAGCTTCTGTTAAAACAATTGGTGATGCTATTCAATATGGTAATAGCAAATCTATGGAAGAAGTTGCAACACCTTTAGCTGAAAGACTCTTTGATCAAAGCGGAGTTGTTAGAGCAGGTAACATATTAATAAATTATACACATATGTACAATTAATAACAAATTGTTTATAATAATAATACATCATAATTTAATGATTGTATAAAGCTGTTGTAGAAGTAGCAGGACATTGGTTAGTGGAGTTAAGAGATAGATACAGTTGGTGGCATAAAATTCTTCCACTTATTTTAACGGGTCTTCATGATGAAATAGAAACGATACGTGTTTCGGCAGCAAAAATGTGGGACGAAGCAGGTCAATTGTATATAAAAGAAAATCAAAGCGACGAAAAGTTTAAAGATAAAATGGACTTTCTCATAGAGAAACCAAAACATTATCCACCTAATAGTATGTTTTCATTTTGAGGTACAATATATAAGATAATATTTATCGAAACATTGTTTTTTTCAGTTACCAGACCAAACTTAGGATGTCGTACTATAGTTCAAGAAAATCTATGTAAACTGGTAAATGGAATAACACGTGAACTTGATGACTGGATGGCTGATATAAGACTTCGTTCAGCACAATTACTTAGCGTTTTAATACTAAACGCGGAAGAATATGTAACTCAACATATAGAAAAATTATTACCAGCAATTTATAGGTATATAAAACATTTTCTTATTCAACTATTATATTATTGTTTATTTATTTTGACTATTTTTTTCTTTTCTAACAGAGCTTGTAACGATGAAGATAAGAGAGTTGTGGATAATATAGAAATTGCAGCAGAATATTTAGGATACTTTGTACCTCCACAAATTTATTGTCGTTTAGTATTGCCTACGTTAGAAAACTCACCTACAGCAGGTCATTTAAAAGCATTTTCTGCTATTATAAGATGTACAGAAACAAATATTCTTCTACCTCATATAGAAAAAATCAGCAATTTTTTACAACAATCATATATTAGTCGTAGCAAAAAAAGTATTTATCAGCAACAACTTTTATCTTGCTGCGATTCTCTTTTAACAGTATGCAACAAGGTTTGACTTTTCCTCTTAAACTTATTTATAACTATTAAATTGATAATATCATAGATAATCCAATGTTTCAGGAATGCGTCCTTATTTCCCAGAATTTATTTACTGTCATATTTACTTGTCTTGCTATGAGTACAGAGAAGTTTATTTCCAAAGAAGCAGATCGATTATTTGATGTGCTCGCAAGTATAGAATCGTTGGAAAATACAGAAGATCTGTTTCTTCATCATATAAAAGCAATGTTAATGTCTATTTGTGATAACTGTGATTCATGGACAACTTATAGTCCAGAACATCAAATATTTCGAACATGTTTAATACGTACTTCAATCGCTGCTGCTACTCATATGGATATTGTGCTACCGATGCTACAAGATATTATGAGCAAAAATACAGACATGGAATTGCGATTGTTATATTTAATATTACTATCTGAATATTTGTTATGCAACAAGCAATCTCTCAGATGCATCATTGATTTTCCTAAATTTGTTAATGAAATTTTAGAAATATGCATTATTCCTAATCTCATTTGGTCAGCAGGTAGAATATCTGAAGCTTTACGTACAGCTTCCATTTCATGTTTGTGTGCTCTTTTACAAAATGATATTCATTCCACTCATGTCAAAGATTCTATTACTATCGTTAACGAAGAAATTGACAACAAAGCGAATGAATGTAAAATCACAATATTTTCTACCGTAGAAAACTATTTATCTGTTTTCGATAGAATTATTCCTATTTTAATTACGCTTGTCGATGATAATATGAAAAAAACTAGGCTTTATTCTTTGCGTGCTATTTATTATATGATGTCAATTGGACATAAGTTGTCTTGTGTAAAAGAAGATCATATTCATAGAGTATGTACGAGTGTATTGAAAAGATTAGATGATGGTAGTGATGAAATACGATGGGCAGCTTTAGAAGCTCTTGTAGAAATATGGTTTACTATTCCAAAAGATTACAATATAATTTGTTGTAAAAGTTATATAGATTGCCTCTATACGACGGTATTGATACATCTAGATGACCCGGAACCAAAGTTTCAAGAATTTGTATTAGGTAAATATTACGCTTTATAAAACTTTCCAAAATATTTCTATTTAAAAAAAAAAAATAATAATTTATATTACATCTTTTTCAGATGTATTGATACACTTGGCAAAGATTTATCCTGAATTATTGTTTGAAAAGTTAAAAAACTGTCAAACAAACTTTAGAAATCAAACTGGTATAGAAATACTTTTAAATCATTGTCACGAATTGTTAAAAAACAATTAATAGACATGTACTGAATACTTTTTAAATGTTGACAGTGGAATAATGTTTTTTATTTAGAATAATAAAACTTGTCAATTAAATAGAAAGAAAAAAAAACTTCAATAAAGTAAAAAAAAAAAAATCCGACAAAATTTATGTATACACATTTTGATTAATCATGCATTCAACAAAATATTGCTTTTATATATTATACCATTTATTATTTAAAAAAAAAAATTTATTTGCAAGTAAGTTTACGTGATTATCAAAATTTGATATTATTGGAAAAGAAACATAACCTCTTTCTAAGAGATAACAGGAAGTACCCGCCCTATTAGTTGTCGCCATGTTGTTCGTATCTTCCGCTTGCTAAAGCCCAAAGCTGCGAGAAGAAGAGGGGCAGGACAAATAAGATTAATATTCGTCGCTAATACCAAATAGTCTTTTTTTTTTTGGAAACGAATCAATCATAGTGTTATATTCATTTGTTCAACAATCAAACTATTCGGTAAGTATGAATAATTGAATTAGGTCTTGCAAATATACTTTTCTCCAGAAAAACTATATTGCCATAGAGTATACGCTTATCAATCGAGCAAAACAGTTGATTTGCATTTTTTCTTCATTATTATTTGTCGTTTTTTATCAGTATAACATTAATGTACATATTTGAAAGCGATTGTTATTTAATTATATAGTTGTTCGATTCTTTTCATTTGAATGATCATTACATATTTGTACGATCTTCGTCAGCATATGATAAGTTGAATGATATACATATTTTCTTTCTTAGTTTGTTAAGATCGAATTTAAGGATTCTAAAAATATTCGGTGATTCCATAATAATATATATTTCGTCTATGCATGCACGTATCTCTGTGTAAACTCTCATGTACACGTAAATATATAACTATATAATATATATAATGCATATATATATATATTACTTCAATTCATRGATCTTTTTATAGTAATAGTATCCTTTCCTTTAATGGGGGCACTATTAGTACAAAGATTTCTAAAATGAAAAATCTATTCTAATATATTATAAATTGTATTGTAATTTTAGCAATGTCCGATGCTACTACTGATCATGTGGATGTCGTGGAGGATGAATTGGAAGTCGAATCAAATTATAAACCTCCTCCAGAGAAGACGATTGAACAAATTTTAGAAGCAGATAAGGAAGATGAAAGTTTAAGAAAATACAAAGAAACGTTATTGGGAGAGGCAAAAGCTGGTGGTGTGATTGTTGGTACGTACCTTCATCTATACGTAGCTTAAGAATAATATCTTAAAGATACATAATATGTTAATAATATATTTTTGTAGATCCCAATGATCCTAGGAAAGTAATAGTTAAGAAATTAGCTCTTTGCGTAGCCGACCGTCCTGATATGGAATTGGATTTGTCTGGTGACTTATCGCAATTGAAGAAACAAACTTTTGTTATCAAAGAAGGAGTTAGTTACAGAATTAGAATTGATTTTATCGTGCAACGTGAAATTGTACATGGATTAAAGTACGTGCAGAAAACTTATCGCCTAGGTGTGCCAGGTGCGTTTCCTCTTATTTTGTTAACTTATTAAAAACACATATTATCACACTCTTTATATATAATGATATTAGTATTATTCATTTGTATGTGCTTTCACTAATAGGAGTCACAGGTAAACAAAAACACACTGTTGTGCTTATGTATATATAAAGTTATAATATTTGATAATGTCATATATATTTTTGATTATAGTGGACAAAATGGCACATATGGTTGGGTCATATCCTCCAAAAACCGAAGTACAATCATATACCACTCCTGCCGAAGATGCACCTGCAGGAGTTATGGCACGAGGTTCGTACAGTGTTAGTTCTTTATTCACTGACGATGATAAACACGAACATCTGAAATGGGAGTGGTCTTTTGAAATTAAGAAAGATTGGAAGGAATAAATCTATGCTGTCATTCCATTAAAGAACAAAAACAAATTATGAGAGAACGATTTTTAACCTTACAATCATTCGCAATTATAAATATAAGGATAAGAAGAAAATACCACCGTAGATATACTTTGATGAGTTTCGAATGATTTTGAGTTGTGGTTGATGATACCATAAGAAATAATTATACATATTAAATAATAAGAGAAGAGAGTGACATATATTGGTATTTATTTAGCATTCACTTACCATTATAATCAACTATTCACAAATGTTTGAGTCGCAAAGTAGAATTCATTGTGTTTATGATGAATGGTCGGTAGAAAAATGTACCGCATTGTAGATTAGAATTAATCTACAAATGTCAAAAATGTTGAAGTATTTCAAAGTGGAAAGTATTATATAATTTGTGAATGAATAATTTAAATGATATACAATAATGATCCCGTGATATTTATCTATTGAAAATAAAGAAGAAATAAAAACAATAACAAATTATAAGGATTTGGGATAACATGATCTTTAGGGTGTTCAAGTGTACACGTACATAATATTTGAATTTAATAATTGGATATCATATCGCATAAAAATGAAATTTATACTTTTATTAAGGTAAAAGATTAAATCGAGAAGAAATATATAAACTCTAAATTAGTAAACCTTGTTCATCAAAGAGTTTATTATATTACTTCGTATTTGAGTGATCATTTGTAAGAGTACACAAGTACCTTATTAAAGTATGTGTATATTTATCAAAATTAAACAAAGTGCATTACAGTTAAATATAATTAAATACATTGATATTATAAATTTTCTGTTTGTGAGCTTCCATAGAAAATTATAATCTTTATTATAAGTCCATTAAATTGGAGTAGCTTTGATGGTTCATTTATAAGTTTTTCGTTAATACGAAAAGATATTAGAATGTTAACATCACAAGGGATAGCGCACATTACAGACATTAGTAATTGTAAAAATGATAATATCCAATGGATCATTCAGTACAGACTGTGCAGCATTTTAAGTAATATCTTTGTATATGCTAAGATTATTCGTAACCTAATGTAACATAATTATCAACAATGTAGTATAGACCTTTTATACCTCACAACAAAATCATAGTTGCTAAATGCTGCAATAGATACAAATTGATGAACGTTCAAAATCTAAAAAGCGTTCCCAGGATTATATGATTGGAAAGAAACAACCTCTGTTATATCTAATATCTTGTTAATTATTATTTCGTAATATATTTTTCATGTAAAAATGCTATCGTATATATGATCTATTTGCATACTATTACTTTCTTTAGTCTTTTCTATTAATAATCATTTTTTAATGTACTGTTTTACGGTATGTCGCAAGATTTGCAATTTATGAATGCAGAGTCTAGTAGCTTATTGTCTCTCATGTGTATTATGTGTATTTATTTGTATTACGCGGTGCATTATACATTGTAATCGTTAATATAGTTGCTGTATATTAAATATACATTTTATACCTTTCTCTTCCAGACATCATCTTTTCAAACTAGCTTGACCTAACAGTTATCCTTAGAATTAAACTAAAATAACGATTGGTTACTTCACTTTTCTTGTTAATCTCACTATTTTTATTTTTATTAATAGTAACTATCTTTGTTTTGTAAAACGCTAGCGGCTGATATTTGTCATCCGGGAAATACAATTTATTTGTTGAAGTATCGCCATTAATACTAAAAATATCATACCCCTTGATGAATTATCTGACAAACATTGTGGATGACACTGACTGCATAGATAACTTGGCTTGGTCACGGTCACGGTCACGGTCACGGTCACGGTCACGGTCACGGTCACGGTCATGGTCACGGTCACGGTCATGGTCTACTCCGCTTGAATATCCTATAGTCGCCTATTCTTAGACGAGTCAGTAAGCTGTTTAAATGTATGTCCGTTGCAAATATAGTCTACAATTTCAAATGTTCTGTTTCTCACAGAATCGTCTCGTTGATGTAGCAAAATTTACTGAACCATTGTACACAATTTTTTTGAAAATAAATCTAGAGGAATTATAATGTGATCATGTAAAAGATAGAAAACAAAACGAGAGAATCTAATTAATTTTATTTTAATAAGACACGTTTTGATAAACAATTGTTTAACCAAATTTAATTGATCAGATTTAATATGTCAGACGTAAGATCATTTCAATATCGCAAAAACTATCGATTACAATCCGATTACAATTCGATGTTTTTTCAATCATGGAGGAAGTCAAGATATCATTACAAGCTTCCTTATCTTTGTATTAATATTTACTCTTACAAAAGTTATGCGTTTTTTTGCTAAAAATATTATTTCATTCAATTCACACTTAATGACACGCGACATTAAAGATTTGTAAAATTTTGGATCTTTTCTTTTTTTTTTTGGAAAAAATTAAAAGAGAAAGAAAATGAAGGCGTAAAATGGGAAGCATAAAATCGAACGAACATGTTCATAGAAAGATTCAAGTGTGTCTTCAAAATTTAGCACTTCGCAAATTGAAAAGATCTACTGTTAAAAACGATAGCATAAATTCAAATGTAATGATCGATGAGCAAAACCGAGACAATTCAAATTTCAAATCGTTTAGTTTCGACAGTAATTTGAGTGAATTTAGGGCTAGCAAGGAAAGAGTAGATCTTTTGCAAGATTTTAGTTTTGAAGATTTAAAATTGAATATTCCAAGTCGAGTAACGAAGATTAAGAAATGTGTTGATGAAAAAGATAATGGTTACTTAAACGATACGAATATGAAAATACTTTCTCGAAAGGGTCGATTTTCCTTGCCAAGTTTGAGACTCGAATTTTCAGAAAGCAGTGATATCGTGAAGATATCGAAAAAAGAAATAAAGAAAGGAAGTCAAGTTTCTCCTTCAAGAGAAGGAAGATTACTGTCTCTGTAGATGGTAATCATCGATAAGGTAACTTTGTACATAATCGTAAATTTCGTAGAATTAAGAGAAAGGAAGATTAGAAATCTTTCGTAAAGATATTCAGGAAAAGGAAAATAAAAGGAAACCGGAGACACGATGAAATTAACACATTGCATACGGCACACTGTTCGTGCAACACGTTTCCAGGAACTGCACATTTTTGAGTTTACTTCTATGTCTAATAACATTACTCAATTCAAGAATTTCGCTATTATCATTGAGTTTATTTTCGTCTGCAGTATTATTCGATTCATTCAATAAATCATCAAACAACAATTCACATTGATTTTTATTTTCTTTACTTCCATTCGTCATTTTGCTATTATTTTAGAATTAAAGCCTATTTCATTAAATAATTCTAATTTTTTATTATCATTTAAAAGACTACAAATATAAATGATTCTTAAAAAGCTATTTCTTTACAAAGTAAATCGTAATTTTTGAAATAACAACATAATGTACGACAATAAAACACTTCATAAGGTAGGATACAGAGCTAATGTTGCAATAGCTGTAATGACCCACTGATTAATTTTTTTTGTTAATTAGATGTTAGAAGAATACGCGAGACTCCGTTAATCTGGTAACATAATAAGAAAATCAAATTTTTATTCCTTAAATCAGAGATCGCCAAAGTGGTGGTCCGCGGACCACTAGCGAAAAATATGGAATATAAAAATGTGGAATATACTTACTCATCATGTTAAGTTATGTTTGAAAACATATGTTGAATTGTGTAATTATGTTGAAACATAATTCAATTCATAATAATGCATAGCTTTCATAATTTGATTACAATGGATAGTTTCATTTTATTAACTAGGCACATTTTATGTGTTCTTAGATCACAATTTTTTTTATAAATATATTTAACACTTAAAAAATCCTATTAGTGGTCCGTGAGGTCAAAAAGTTTGGCGACAGCTGTTTTTAATCATTGATTAAATCGAAAAAACATGAAAACGAGATATTTCGTTTCCCGTATGCAATGTGTTAAATCGCAAGATACTTTAAAAAGAAGAAATCCGATTCGCGCAATTATTTGAAAAAGAAGTCTATCTGATATAATTTTCTACCCTTTAACATCAGTCTTGCAATTTATTGAATTAAAGTCAACAAAGTTTTTCTGTGTTGAACAATACATCTTTTTTTAGCTTTCAATTGCAAACAATGTATAATAAAGTAATAACGAGATATCACACCAATGCGTTATCACTTTTATGGTCATTACTAATTGTAAATAAATTAAATTTATGATCGTATTTTTTCTTTTTTATGCATTCTTATGTTTCAAATGAAGAAAAAAAAATTCAAATATCTTTCGATTTATGTATATCATGTAATGTTTATTAATATTGTCCGTTTAAAATAGGCTGTTACGTGAAATATTTAATGAAATATGAAAGATCGAAGAAAACTCCGAAGAGGTGCCTTACCTATGTAAGATTTGTGATATACCATCTTTCAAATTGAACATAATGAAAAGAACAAAGAGACATTTCCATTTAAATCGGTATTAGCAACAAAAAAGCTTAAACGAAATGAAATTGTCTTTTTAATTGACTGTATTGTATTTATTTCTCAGAAAATGCTTGGCTAAACATGACGAGTATGCGAGTTCATATCTGGCAACGTCTATCAACGAGAATATAAAAGACAATTCGTTTTATCAATTCATCCGTCATCGTTGCGGGTTCGCATCAAAATAAGGTTGATGATTTATCTCTTGTTCTCAATAAGAGAATCTCTTTAAGGATGGTGGGATATTCAGAAAAATTATAATACAATTTGTTAACGATTGTTTTGTAATGTTGAAAGAATTCTTCAAGAATATCCATTTCTTCGGAAAAATGAATCTCATATATGTACACATATGTCAAACATTGTATTTATTTTTCAGGAATACTGGAAAAAGTATTAGCACGTTATACGAGCCGTAACCGTTGTTGTTACATTTGCAGAGCTCATGGAAACTCGAGCATTTCCTGTGGATACAAATGTATAATGACACCAAGTTCTCAAAGAGTAACCTTTCTCATCTTCCTAGTAAAAAGGAGACAATGTAGACGACTAAATTCATTGTGTTTCTCCGTTTAGCTTTAAGAATTTTCTTTTATAAACGTGATTCGTTTTGTAACGAATAGCATATCATTAACGAGAGAATCCACCGCAGTTGTTCGTGATTGATGTAAATTGATAAAGATAGAGGAGTCAAAAGGAAGAGAAGCAAACGGAAACAATCAAGAATCGTGTCGAATTATCGCACGATCTGCTGTGCGGTCAGAGAGAAAAAGGTAACTGTAAAATAGTTTCCAACTAAATCACGAACAAAATAAATTCGTGCAAATTTCGAAAACGCACTGTTTCCTCTTTGAGTCGAGAGAAGAGAAGGTGGTGCTCATTAGACACGCTCGAAAAGTTTAACTCGTTTCCCGAGCTAAATCAAATTAAATTACTAAGTTATTTAGCCTAATTAGCGATCATTCCTTAATTGGACACGACATATCATATGAATCTATTTTATTATTATATTATTGAAAAATGGATACTTTTTAAAGTGAAAAAGTATGACATTAATTTTAGATCGGTTATTATTGACGAAACCGCAAATAACCATGGAAATGATAGAAGAACGCTTAATAAAGCGAAGATTTCTCTTGGAACGAAGAAAGTCATAGTCGCGCGGTGGTCGTCGACGTGTATCAAGTTTCCTGGTTCATCGTGATTACGCGGGAGAATATCGTTGTAGCGTATTTGAAATCTTTATAGAAGAAAACAAAAGAAGAAGAAGAAGAAGGGACCTGATCTAGAGGGACGACGCGACTACTACTAATAACGAGTAGGTGTAACGAGACAGCTCTCGTCCGTATCGATCCGTACTGGAGCTTTCGGTGAGGGGAAGAAACACACACCGTCAAGAGGAGAGCAAGCTCCGTGAAAATCGCGCGTGATCGTAGATCCAACAACGCAGCTTCATAGTTCACCAGTTTCAAACTGTGAGTGAGGGAGAGAGAGAGACAAATAAAAAGAAAGAAAGAAAGAGGACAGTTGGATGCGCGTTCTTGGGTGTATGAACGTGCGCCTACTATTTCTCTCTTTCTCTCTCAGTTTTTCTCTCTCCCTCTGTCAAGGCAAAAGGAAGGAACCCCTCGTTGTCTCCCCCACCCTAGTGTACGGCAATAACCGAGTATCCTGGCGTATGGAACCGACGCTCGTCGGCCCTCAGTAGCGCGACGAGCGTCGAGTCGCGTGTGCTGTTCTTCTTGTGTGTTATTTCCACTTTTCACGAGTACCACAAATATATCTACCGAAGTCTGCTTTTTTCCATCTATCTCTCTTCCTCTCGTGCTATTTCACGCGCGTACATCCTCTCTCTTAAGCTCGAGTAGAGCGTACCACGGGAGAGAAAGAGAAAGAGAGAAGAGTGGTGAGTAGTAAAAAAAAAAGTACAAAGTGAAGAACTCTTTGACGTTACAAATGTCGTCCTTTTTTACAAAGAAGGAGAGTTTAAAGGACGCACACCGACCATCTTTGCTTGCTTATGGTAGCCACAGGAGGTAGAGAAGGATGGAAGATATTCTTTTCCCCTCTTCTTCTTTCTTTTTTTACTTCATGAACGATTATAGACGAACGGTTAGGTACGTACGACGGCATCGAGAGTTCGTCGAACGTTTCGAGGTCAGGGTCGGTCTTTCGGAGAAGAGACAGAGAGACACGCGGTCATGCACACACGAAAATCGAAGGTCTCGGCACTTGGCGTTTAACCAAGACATTCATTGCAATCTATATTTAGCTGATATAGCCATTGGGAGCTTTGCAGGAGGGATGACACGACAAGGGGTGTTTTATATTTCGAGGACGATCGGGGGTAGTGACTTCTCAGTGACTCATTTCTCATTTCCTCGACTCTTGGGACCTGGGTGGGGCCGTCCGGCCGGCGGAAGTCCTGCCTTCCTGCCTTCCTACCTTCCTAACTTCCTCCTGCTTCCCCCTCATAACTCTTTGCCTTTGTACGATATCTTATTCTTCTCACATATTGTCAAATGTTTATCGACCATGTATGCTTAATATTTGTGCTTATTATTTAAAATGAATGTATACGTTTAAAATCTAAATTTAATAATATATGTCATTTTGATCTGCAAAGGGTTTAGGAATCGCTAAGAAAAACAATAAATAATGTTCAACTAGTCGTTACTCGATAAATTTAAAAGGAGAAAAAAAACGAAAGAGTAGACTCGTAATGCGGTCTGTATGTTTAGTTGTCGTCACTCTAACCATAATAATTATGTTGACGTAGCATGTTATGGTCTTTTCTGATAGCGTCTCGTGCTGCAGCCTTTTTTTATCGACATCATGCTTCCATGTATTCGATCGTATCGTTGTGATAATAGAAAAATCAAAGCTACTTCGTGTGAACGAAACCGTTATAATGCGAATAATATTTATAAAATATTGGCATTATTTCCTTCTTAGATTTTCGAGTTTATAGTTCGTAAATATTCAACATTAATGCGAAAACACGATTGGTGTTTCTTTTCACGTCCTAGTAAATCCGTTTACCCACCGGGTGTTTTTCTCTTTCCGCTTTATAATGGAATATTATATTTGACTTAAATCAATTTCTGACATTAGTTATAACTAATGACGCAAATGCTATTGTCAAAGTATCGTTGTTACTGCTATAGAACATTGAGGATTGTATATGATAATCAAGATCAGTCAATGAACGGTCAGCGAACAATCGATTTACAAAGTGTCTCGATCAATTGAATCTCTGATTCTGTTAGTTTAATTAAGAGAATGTCATGACTATATGCAGCTATTCGAGGCTACGAATATACATCATATATATTGTAAGATTAACAGTAAATGGTAAATCGAGAAAACTACCGTTCGATGGATTCCTCTTTGCGCATCATTGCTCCAAAGCAGATGCGCATATGTGTATTCATGTATAAACTCGAGTGTCGAATAAGGAAATATTATTTAATGCGGTCATAATGTAAGATGCGTACGTTAACCTACTTTTGATCAACGGCACGTTGAAATCGGTTAATGACCGTAATAGATGTTAAAGCTCAGGGAACCGCAATAATCATAATGACATTACTATTCGAATCAACTAAACGGTATTACGTGTTTTTTGTTTCATTCTCTGTAGATTAGTAGGAAGATTTATCACGATTGTTAATTTAATGTCATAATATGAACGATTTCATTTGTATATATCGAAACTATTGATGAACGAATTGGAATAGCAGTCCTGTCGAATGGCTAGGATCAATACCTGCTAGCTGTACGCCCTGCCATGTATAAGGAAGGGATAGGGCGGGGATCCTTCCTTCCTTGTTTCCTTTTGAACGTTGAGCATTATTCGAGTTTCGTCCTTTTTTTCTTTCTTTTTAGTCTTTTTATTTTATTTGATATTTTTTCTTTTTTCTGTCTTGACTGTTTGTCACCAATTATAAATTTTTATACGACAAAGAACGTAATGCAACATACTACTGTATAATTTAGTTATCAGGGACACTCTCGGATTCGACGTATTATTATTTTCATTCTTTGTTTTTTTGTTCATAGCCCAAACACGCTAAATTACGCCTACCTCTACTTACATACGTTATTTTCTCTTTTGCGGTATATACTCGGTGTACTTTATTTTTCGAGAACTTATTGCCGGAAAGACTGGCTTTGGTATAGGGTTTACCTACGTAGTCATAATAGACAAGAAACCAGAGTACACAGGTGGTCGCACAGAATACTTCGTTCTGCGTCCAGTTCACTCACCTCGCTTCAAAGTCCCGTTTTCGCTAAAACTTCTTTTAGAAACTTTATACGCCTTGTTAATTCTCGCATACTGTTTAAGAATTCGGATAATTATGGAATTCTTCGATTAATTATATAAATATGAAACTGACCAAATACATAATTAAAGAGAAATTTCTACAAATGCATAATTTATAATTCATGTATCGAATTTCTTAGCTTTTCAATGTCACGCAATTTTAAATGAGATATGCAAAGACGAGATTTCATCGAGTGACTTTACAGAAGAAAGCATCTCATTGTGAGATAATACGTCGATAACGTTCCGCTACCGGTTTAGAAGATTCCTTATTCTTTTTTTATTTTTTCATATTCGAGATAAAGATTGAAATTTTTTTGCATTATTGAAATAAATGCTTTTTTTGAAGAATGGAAAATTAAATAAAACTTCTACCTACAGAGTCTTTAACACTAGATATACCACCATTTTCAGTATACCTATTTCTACCACACTAGTCAAAATGACTGGTGTATAAAAAAAAATGCTTTTTGAGACTTCCAGTCTTTATTTACTCTTAAAAAATAACAAAAAATTTTTAACAATAATAATTGTAATAAATAAATGGATTTATAGACATTTTTAAATAACAAAACGCTTAATTATTGACAATACTCAAATGTTACATAAAGTAAAAATTTTGAATTAAAATAGCCCGACCAGTCAAGATGACTGATCTGATATATCTAGTGTTAAGATATATCAGTTATATAATTTACAATATTTATATTATATTTAATATTAATAATAGAATTTGATGCTTTTAGGATTAATCTCGGATTTAAAATTACTCCTTTACTTACAAAGCTTTACGGCTTTCGTAAAAGGGAGAATTTCATACGATAAGGAGCGAGTAATTTAAACTTTGGCCAATTTTAAAAGCAATGCAGAGCAACGGATCGGAGAATATGGGACCCGAAAATGGTGTTGAAAAATCTGGATGGACAGTAGGCATTATACACTTTGATATAATTATTGTCTTATTCATTTTGAACGATACTCTCCTGTTTTACTTTTGATTTATTATTTATACAAGATATTCAATTTATCAATTAATATATTTGTCCTTTCTTCCAATCAGGTTGGATTGATTAATGGAAAATACAAATATCTTACGGCTGAAACCTTTGGATTCAAAATTAATGCTAACGGATCAAGCTTGAAAAAGAAACAATTATGGACTCTGGAAGGTAGCGATCAGCAAGTATTTCTTCGTTCTCATTTGGATCGGTACTTGGCTGTAGATCAGTTTGGAAACGTGACTTGCGAAACGGAAGATGTTAATGATCCTGGCTGTGCTTTCCAAATACAGCTGGCCTCTGATGGTAGATTTTTTTTGTTTTTTTTTCTTCAATATAGTTTATAATGAATATTTCACGTCAAGATCTTCTGAAATGTTTATTATTAATTTTAGGTAGCGGTCGTTGGGCTTTAAAGAACACGCAGAGAGGCTATTTTCTAGGCTCTAGTCAAGATGAATTAAAATGTATAGCTAAAGCACCGGGTGAAGCAGAATATTGGCTTGTACATCTTGCTGCCAGGCCACAGGTATAGATCGTATCTTCGATTTATTTATTAATTGTTGAAAAATACAAATATTTCTATTAATGAATAGAATATTCATTAAATATTTGACTTTAGGTAAATCTTAGATCTGCCGGAAGGAAACGTTTTGCTCACTTAAGTGCAGCACAGGATGAAATTCATGTTGATGCACCAGTACCATGGGGCGAGGATACTTTATTTACTTTGGAATTTCGTCCCGCAGCCATGGCAGATCACGATGATGATCATGGAGATCATGTGAAATCAGAGGGTGGACATTACGCTCTTCATACTTGTAATAATAAGTACCTTGCCCGTGATGGTAAATTGTTAGACAGTTGTACCAGAGACTGTCTTTTTGCGGCTGAATTTCATGCAGGACTACTTGCACTGAGGTTTTTATATTATACGATTATATTGTAAATATTTCTATATCGATGTAATAATATTTCAATGCATTATTAATTAATTATAGAGATATCAATGGAGCATATTTAGCACCGATTGGAAGTAAGGCTGTATTAAAATCTAGATCCACAACTGTAACGCGCGACGAACTTTTTTCTTTGGAAGAATCTCTTCCACAAGCCTCCTTTGTTGCTGCTCTTAATCAGCGATATGTTTCTGTAAAACAAGGTATATTACAATTATAAGATATTTGAATAGTTAAAAGCATCATTTTTGCATATCGAATATTATTTATTTACAAATATTTCAGGAGTGGATGTAACTGCAAATCAAGATGAAATTTCTGGTCATGAAACATTTCAATTGGAATTCGATCGTGTCACAAAACGATGGTACGTACGTACAATGCAGGACCGTTATTGGAGTTTGGAAGCTGGTGGTGGCATCCAAGCTGCTGATCACAAAAAGTCTTCAAATGCTCTATTTGATCTTGTTTGGCAAGAGGATGGTACAGTGGCATTGCGTGCTAACAATGGCAAATTCATAGCTACTAAACGCTCTGGCCACCTTTATGCAAATGCTGAACTTACTAATGGAAGTGATTCGGATGCTTGTAAATATTATTTCTATTTGATAAACAGACCAGTTTTAGTACTTCGATGTGAGCAAGGCTTTGTGGGTCCTAAAAGTACAACTAGCCCCAAGCTTGAGTGCAATAAAGCTAGTTATGAGACAATTCGCGTTGAACGATGCGAACGTGACATTGTCAGATTTAAAGGTAATACTTTGATTTTGTTATTTGAATTTCAATATATTTATATTGTAAATAATATTAAAATATTAAACATTATTTTTTGTATCTAGGACAAAATGGAAAATATTGGCATGCAGATAGTGAGGGAGTAACTGTTGATTCTGATATACCATCTGATGGCTTTTACTTGGAAATGCGTGAACCATCTCGTCTATGCATTAAATCTACTGATGGTCGATATCTTACTGCAGGTAAAAATGGTGTTTTGCGTTTAGGAGATACAGATTATGAATCTGCCACAAAATGGGAATTCTAATGTGGGTGGCTGCTTTTGGAAAAACATAATTCATCAGGTGTTATTATATCTCATCGTATTTTTTACATGGGAACGTAAGAACAAAAACTTTGTTCCTACTATGATGTACTTAACCAAGAACAGTTTTATAAATTTCACCGTCAAACGAATTTACGACATATCGATGGTGAATTATCTTTATGGGGCTACAAAAAAAAGATATCGTAAATTTGCATAAATCAAAGACTGACATCTATATGAACTGTGAATTATTAAGAGCCAATCATTATCACGAGCTTTTTTATACGCAATGCTTCATTTTATATAAACTATACAATCAATTTATAGCGCAATAAGCTTCATAAAGTAAATCATTTACTTTACTTACGTCAAGACACATTGACAATACGTATTTGATATTTGATAAAATTGTGTATTAAAAGTGAGGATGTTCTTTGTGGGTCATTTATGAGATATCTTTAATACAGCTTTCCATTTTTAATAGCATATATGCATAGATTACTCATCATTTAAATTAAGGGGAATATAATAGCAGTATAGACACGCGCGTACATTGGTCATAGACTAATCTTTGTTCTACTACTGTTCTCTACCAAAAGCATATATGAATACTAAATTATGTCCCTTTCTTGATAAGTGCTTTTTCAAATTGCAAATTTCAAATTGAAAATATTTCATAGTTGTTTGCAACACCAATATGTGATGCATTTTTATATAATATACACATACTTAACATTCATAATACTTATTGTTTTAGAACACTGTCAGTTCTTATTAAACAAAAACGAATATATATTGAAAAGAATTATTTTTTTTTTTATTAGCATATTTTTAAACCCAAACTATGGACTGATCTATTTAAGTATCAAGTAAGTTCAAAGTTAATACCAACATTGACCACAAGTAATTTAATGTTTTATACACAAATTTATAATGTTTCATTTGATATATGAAACATGAGAATTATTCCTCTCTAACAATAAGTGATAACAATAAGTAATCATCAATCCATGATTTTCTGCAACTATTTACTTGTGCACAAATTTCAGTAACTTTCATTAAAATAAACTATTACATTTGGAATTTTTTTTATTAAAGCTAACAAGTATAATATCGATATATTATAGCAATACATTGAAATTAAATTCTATGAGTACGCTCAAGCGGAAAATGAGTATAAAATGTAGTAACATTGTAGAACTTACTTATCGTCATTGGTCATCAATTTAAACCTATTCCAAATCATTATATTGCATAAGCATGTATTTTTAATCGTCTATGCATTGCGCAATATACAAATTTTGTCTATTTTTGCTATTAATTATGTACAATTTTTACAAAACTGTGTGGATATGATTTTTTTTTCTTTTTAAATACTATACACAACTATCGATACTTTAAACTAAAATCTTATATACAATCAATAATTTTATTAAGGATTATTAACAAGAATGTAATAAACAATTTTATATTGACTGAAAATAGTTTTTTATAATACGAAGCCCTGTTAGTATGTTTCTTTTGATTTTTTAATATATAATATTACCGTGAAAGATCAAAATTGGATAATGTAAAGATTTATTGTCCATGGTCATGATGTATGTCAAAAATATTAATCTATAAAAATAAATCCAAATATTCGGTACTTGTGTATTTTGTATGTGTTGTTGACAGCACATATAAACGACACGTGAATCTTGACATTATTCAATTTCGGTCTTTACGGTAACATATACAATAAATAAATAAATATATATATATATTATATATTTTAATTCTTTCCAAACTATTAGCCTTCCATTAGTCAACAATTTAGACAATAGGTTTTAAAATATATCTACTTTCAAATTTATATCGTGGAAATTTAATTTCATTTTACATTGTTTGCCTTAAATTGTTCTTTTTTATGTTTTCAACAATATCAAACTTGAATTAGTATGTTATTAAATTGATATTGCGTTAGAGAAATTAAAATTTTTCAAACAGCTGTATGTCAAAGAGATTATTAATAATAATAATGACAATATGGTATATTTAAAATAATATTTATTTTATTTATTTATTTTATGTAAATTGTTTCTGTAATTTTTTTAATACACGTTCTTCCGCTAATGTCACGCTTTCCTGATGTATAGTCTTTAGATATGGATATATAATAGGTAAATTTTTTACTTGCGATAGATTGAAGTGCATATGATCAAGTGCTACGCCAACTTTTCTTAGGTCATATATACTCTTATCGGAAATAATGGGTATTTTCGCATTTCTTTGACTAAAATGCGTCAATAGAGTAAAACCTGATTGCATTTTCTCACCAGCATTTATGGCATTTGATACTGTCGAATGTTTTTTCTTTTCTGCTTCTTTTGCTAATTCATCCTGTAGAGTTGCTTCATGAATCAATAAATCACAATGCATACCTAGTTGTATTAAGCTGTTACAAGGCATAGTATCACCACTAGAACATCAAATAAATAATTCTTAATCTGTTATTGATTATTAAAACTAACCTAAGTATATTTTTACATTTTAAGCGTTTTTATTTACCTGTAGACAACTTTTTTATCATTTTCAAAAATCAAAGAAACTCCATATGATAAATTACAGTGCCTTACTAAGGTAGTTTCAAGTGCCTTAATTTTCAATTTATTAAACAAATTTTGTTTGATCGTTACAACATTTTGTCGCTTGACTCTGTGAGCCAAAAGATCATCGTTTGATATATATTTAACACATTCTTTAAATTGATCAAAGCGTTCATAACAATAATTCATCCATGATTTAAGAGTGTCTGGCATTAATAAAGCAACGGGTTCTTTTGTGACTCTTGCTCTAGCTAATATAATCCCTACTAAACCCAAATGATGATCAGCATGCATATGAGAAACATATATTGCCTAAAACAAAAATCATTTCTTTTTGATTACCAATAGAAATTATTTAAAAAAGAAAACCAAGTAAATGGGTATATTAACTGTACCTTGATTGTAGATAGAATATGATCAAGTTCAGTCATACCATAAACACGTGCTAATTGAGATAATGTTCCTTCACTACAATCTAATAATATACTAGTACTTTCATCTATTCTCACGAAAATAGCACTTGTATTTCTAACTTTACTAGGTATACTAGAACCGGTACCTAACATCACAAATTTCGGATATTCTTCTGTACTCGTTTCTTGATCGATAATAGCGCGAAGTTCTTCCAGGATTGTAGAAAAATTTTCTATTTCGAATAACTCATTCGTATAAACTTCTCGATCAATAGAAATCGTAGTGTCTGTGTTGAATTTTTTTTCAGGTCTTAATTGAATAGTTTGTAATGTTTTAGCATAATGTATTCGTAGATTATTATCCTATGCACATATAAATATTTATTTGGTATTGTTCATAGAAATGATCACTTATTTACTAAAACATTTTAAATTGTTACTTACTGTATCAAGATTTTGACAATTTACATCTGATTCATGTTGAAAACATTTTGTCTCCAAATAAGGAAACATTTTAGGATTTAATAAATTATACATGTGTTGTTGTTTGTATACTGCTTCGCTACCCAAGCAAGTGTTGCTTTCATTTATTATTAAATGATAAGTATTTGAATCGAAATTATTCATCCACTCTTTGTATTTAGGATTATCAATTATCTCCTGTGGTGTAAAATGTATTATACAATATGGTTTGTCGTTCTCATCAAGGGCATTTTTTTGGTGTTTTACAAAAGCAGTTTCATTTACAAATGATTCTAAGTAGTCCTCATTTGGACAATCAACAACTATAAATAAAATATTCGATATTAATTATTATTAAAAGGAATTTTAATTATAAATAAAATAATATAGAAACAAATGATTCAATAAAACGGAAGAAAATGTTCGAAATTCTAATTCGACAGGAGATACCAAAAAAACTGGTCAATCTAGTTCAAGTTTGCTTAAAAGAAACTAGAAGTAAAGTGAGAATAGATAATGAAATGTCGAAAACTTTTAAGGGAAGGAACTTTCGAGTTGCTAATGTCAATTAATAATAATAATAATATGATTACCTATAAACGTTGCACCTATTTGCTTAGGAGAACAAACTTCATCGTTTCTTACGACGGTTCCATCACCTAAAGTGATATCATTCCCTTTTTTAAGAAGTCCTAAGATAGGACCAGGTTTAATGCCTTTGGCAAGACATTTTTCTAAATGTAAAGTACCTAGCTTGTCCTGTAATTTGCAAATATAGGACAACACAGGTAGATTTTCATTTAACTTTATTCTTTTTTCGGTTTTAATTTCGTTAAGTTTTCTTTTGCCATCGTTATTGGCATATGTAATATTATCGTCTGTGTCATTATCTATTATTGTCTCGGAGATGCATTTAGAAGATATATTGTTCACATTTGAATGTATTGGTATGCATGAAACAGTCATCACACTATCCTCATACTGTTTCATTGTCTCAGGTTCGTCAAAACTAGTATACAATTTTTTCATAATGTTAGTTTCTCTTAATAACCTTAACATTTGTCCGGTTTTTTTAGGTGCAGTTATATTTATAACATTTAAACAGTTGTCATTTTTTACTGTTTCTTCAGGTAAAGCTTGTATCGATAATATTACTCCTGGTAACCCACCCAAATTTTTCCAAATTCCAGACGTAATAAATATGTGTTCTATTTTGGATAATTTAGTTTTGTGCTCACTAGTTAATCTTTGTGTTCCTTCTCCACAATTAAACATGTATCTCTTACGATCTGAAATTAAAACTAAACATGTGCTTCCTGCTCTAGATCCACTGCCTAGAACCTAAAAAGATTGTACAATAATTTTCGTTAAAATGTAATGTTATGGAATGGAATGAAATGAAATGAAATAATAATTGCGTAAATAATAGTTGTGAATAAAATGAATAATGATCAATATACCTGCAGGCGCACTTCTGCTGGAATAACATTTAATGGCATGACTTTAGCATCAATTTGCGGCGTGTTATTTATTTCCACACTAAGAAACCGCGAACGACATTTTTTTAGAATATTTCTCGTTATATTCTTTGCAATCAACATTTATTTTTATTATTATTATTATAATTATTATTAGTATGATTATGAAACGTTTTTCATATCAAAATATATTTCTAATTTAATAAATTTCTTACAAACACTGATTGGAACATTACTTCATTATAACCTAAAATCTAGTCGGCAATTTGCAATGATCCCAGAGACTTTAGTTCGTCTGATCGACACAGGGGCGTAAAATTATCGTACGCCCTAGGGATCCTGTAGGAGGGATGCGCCATTCATATTCAGCTCATGTGCTATTGGCTGAAAATTTTGGGGGACTGCTTGAATTTATAATAATTTTTTCGTGTAACCTATTCTATTTTAATATAAATTTTTAATTATCATTAAATATAGTTCATTTTTTTCTGTATTTGATGCAATTCAATATTTCATAATTATTTCAATGTTTGAATCATTCGCTCGCAAAATCGAGTTCCGGTCCCCCAGCAATGTACATGGCGCATCCCTCCTACAGGGTCCCTAGTCTGATCGACACAGGGGCGTAAAATTATCGTACGCCCCGGGAAAAATTTGAATTACTACAATTTGTCGGATGAGATTTTCAAAATCTGGAAAAACAGTACAAGTTACAAGTAGAATCTGGAAAAAAGTACAAGGTTTTCAAAGTTGATGACCAGAGATCGTACACAGATCGTACACGGATTGTGGTGGTGGTGGTGTTGGTACACCTTTCCTAAATTTGATGACTAAAAAAAAAAAATAAGGTCATCAAGTTTTCAAAATTCCAAATTGGATCGTACAGACTGAATTTTGGATCGTACAAGGCCTCAAATTATCGTACTAATGGGATCACTGGCAATTTGTAACATTTGAACTTTAGTAGCATTTCCATAAAACTTCAATGCCATCTTAAGCCAAATTTACATATCACAGGGGTGTGGCGCGTTGCTATTTTACCAGAACTTATAATTTTCACCAAATAAGATTTTAATTATTATTTTTGATTATTAACCGAGACACGTGGTTTGTTAACTATGGAGGGTAGAGGTAAGGAGAATCATCTCATATGAAAGAAAATTAGAAAAAGTGTCCAGCTGTATGCTATAAATAACAGTTCAAAAATCTTCCAGAATGGCGCTGATGTAGACAAAGGGTATAGTATGAATGTAGCAATTGTAAACGAATTGAAGTATGCTGAGTTAAAAAATTTAATATTATTGCCGACTAAAGTACTTAATTATTTATTTTTTTTAATATTCATTAAGTAGACGTTAAAAAATGATACCCAAAAAATCATTATATGTTGTTTCTTACTTTATGAGGATTTTGAAAAACGCGCTATAACTTAGCAGAAGTTTTTCTTTCCTTGTTTATTTCTCAATCCTACTCTAATAATATTTGGAGCTTCCTTTAAAATTTATCCTGATGCTAATGTGGCACTACCCTAATTTAATGCATTTCGACGGACACTTTTTCATATACGCAGATGATTCTCCTTACCTCTATCCTCCATATTGTTAACAAAGAGTCTTTATTCCCTAATAATACTTGCGATATAGACTAGACCAGGGGTCGGCAACCTTTTGAGTCGGAAGAGCCAAAAATTACAATACTTAATATTTATTACATAAATAAAGTTTTTTGATAAAAAAAAAACTAATCTATTTATTTATAAGAAAAAATATCTATTTATTCATATAAAAGTAGTGTTTTCATAACAAATTAGATAATATATATATGGCATTATTAGATAATTACTTATTATATAAGAAAAAAATTAAAACACATAAACATTTACTTACAACAATAACTTGTTCCTCAATAACAAACAATTGAGCAAACAAATTCAATGGGAGCGATGGCTTTGCATGGTTATTCAAGTAGAAAATTTAAACTTTACTAAACAATGTAACTTGTACTTAAAATAAAAAAAACAATAACATACATTTGAACAAACAAATTCAATGGGAGCGTTGGCTTTGCATGGTATTAGAAAGTTTGGATAAATTTGGCTCATAACTTGTTGTTTTAAGTTTCAAACACGACTCTAAATTTTCATTTGTTAGTTGGCTTCTTACTTTACTTTTAATTATATTCATGCAAGAGAACGCTTGCTCGCACGAATATGTCAATCCGAAGATAGTCAACACTCCAAATGCCAACTTCTTCACCTCACTGTAGCAATCTGGAAGACTATTCCATGTGTCAAATATAAGTGCCTCAACTCGCGGCATTTCTTTTAAAGCTGTCCACTTTTCTTGCGTTACGTACATACATTTCTGGACCTCTAACTCTTCCAACTTGCTTTTCAACTCTGTAAATTTTCCACTCCACAAAGCTTTACTTTTTAAATCGATCAATTGCATTTCTAGAGATCCAGTATCAATTCCAAATGGCTCAACGTGGATTTCGTTACTATTTGTGTTGAGAGGATTTACTATGAATGCTAGAGTGGTTTTGTTGGTTTTGAATTGCTCAAATCTGTCAGCCAATTCATCTTTAATTTTTTTTATAACTGTGTTGAAGTAATTCGTGTCAACAGTTGCACTGGTTTTATCGCGATATTGCCTTAGAAATTGAAAATGAAGTAATTTACCACTCTGAATATCTTCTGCGAAAAGAATTAATTTTTCTTCAAAACAAACCAATTCTTCTACAAAAACATAGGTTGGATTTCCCTTTCCTTGCAGTTTTAGATTCAGCTCATTTAATTTCGCTGTGATATCCACCATAAAGTAAAATTTTTGCAACCATTTGTCGTTCTCTAATTCAGGGTGATTAATGCCTTTTTCATTTAGGAATGCATTTATTTCATTCAAGCACAAAGCAAAACGTTTCAACACCTTACCTTTGCAAAGCCATCGCACTTTATTGTGAAGAAGGAGGTCGGAATACTGAGTCTCCATTTCGTTTAAGAATTCTTTAAACTGACAATGGTAGAGTGCTTTTGACAAGATGTTGTTAACAATCTTGATTACCAAATTCATGACCTCAACTATCTCGGCCGGAAATGTTTGGGCACAAAGTGCTTCTGGGTGTATTATGCAGTGAAACGTAAGAATTTCGTGGTTTATTTTGCTCTGAAGAATCGTTGTTGCCCCTTTATTTTTTCCTGTCATACTTCTGGCTCCATCAGTTGCTATTGAAACGATTTTATTTAAATCGATCTTATTGTCTTCAAGGCATTTTTGCACGGCATTCGCTATACCTTCCTCTCTAGTTTGTCCTGAGAGCGGTAGCAATCCTAGAAGTTCTTCTTTTGGACCTTGGGAAGACATATACCTGACAAAAAGGGCAACTTGTGCCGTGTCTTTTATGTCGCAAGACTCATCTATAGCAAGTGATAAGGCAGAAGAAAGTTGAATATCTTCCACCTGCAAATATGTTACATTTGAAGACATTTTAGCTATTCTATCTTGTACTGTTTTAGCGGATAGTGGCAAATCTTTGATTTTTTTCAAGATTTCTGGTTTGTTATTGAAATCACGAAACAATTCTTCAGATGCACGTATGAAGCAATCTTTGACATACTCACCATCTGTGAATGGTTTGCCTTTTTTTGCAATTTCTAGTGATACCGCGAAGCTTGCCAGATTAACATTACTTGTAGATTGCGTCCTGTTACTTAACATTGAACTAGATTGCCATTTTTGTTTTTGGAGCTCATCGACAGCTTTTTTTCGTTCTTCGCCGGCTGGATATTTACTAGCAAACTGAGTATGTTTTTTAGTGAAGTGTCTCTCTAAATTTGATTTCTTATTGTGTGCGAGTTTTTTGTGGCAAATGAGACAAGTCGGAAGGCCATCTGAGTTGCATATGAAAGCGAACGACTCCGTCCAATCCCGATTGAATTCTCGATTCTCTTCTTCAATTCTTCTCTTTTTTTTTGTAGATGCCATGCTTGTGATAAAGCTTTAATAAAGAATTTTAAAAATTATTATTTAGGTATCCAAAACAGCAGATGACAAGTTTTGCAATTATTTACTATGTCAATGTATACCTAAGTAAATACATACAAGAAGCTGGGCATAATGAAATATAATTTATCAAAAAACATTTTACAACGATATTTCCCAATTAAAATACTTACCTAAATAAAATAAATAATTCTCTAATAATTTAATTATTAAAATAAATAACTTAGACACGAAACACTGTTTGTCTCACTCTCTCACGTACTGATTGACTATAAGTAAATGGTTTCGTCGCATCTATGGTCGCCTCCCGTGTGCGGTGATCGCCGACTGGCACGAACGGACTTGTCAGAACGTCTTTATTACGGCGCAGTCTGCACATTTTAGTTTTTTTTTAAATTTTGGCAAATATTAAATACTTACTTTACGAGTAAAGGTGTTATGCCCAGCTATGCCGAAATCAATAAAAATTCCCAAACATATAAACAATCTAAAACTGCAAATACCAACCTACTTTGATCCTCAGAGTTCGAAAATAAGTTTATTAAATAACAATTTATAGGTACTTACACTTATAATTATTATTTTAACGCTAATTTTTAAATAATAAAAGCTATAAAATAAATAAATAATTAAAATAGGTAATTTATTAAATATATATTTTAATAAAAACGCTTTCGCGGTAATATCCAACAGTAGTACTTTGTTTCTTTTTTGACAATTTTTATTGACTTCAAAAAAGTAATTAGGTATCTTATTTGGAAAAAAATATGTATAATATGTATTTTAAAAATATAATACTTATTATGTTACCTACCTTTACTTCGGTTTTTTTATTATTATTATTATTATTATTATTATATATATATATGTTGTTGGCGCGCACTATATGTTATGCTGACGCGAATCTGTTTCAAACTAACGTACAATTTTTAAGTTGCAATTATACGCGCTTTTGTACGGAAAGTCTCACGACGGTAAATTAATACGGTGTGAGTGGTTTTGTAATATACTAAAGGCACTTCTTTAGTCAACAATGATTTATTAATTTGAGTCTTGGCGACTATGTTACAATTGTTCGATGTGACTGTATAAATGTATGATATATAACAGACAATGTGTATTACAGGCAAAAGTACTTAATGGACAGAACGCTTCTTGCATTATTTCGCGGGTTTTTATACATTAGTTAGTTACACCCCTTTGGAGAGGGAAGAACCTAAATGGGACTTATTTTCCAATAGTAGGAGGGTACACCTACCAGGATCTCCTAAAGGAAAATCTTATGTTTATGGGAAAGGAAAAGAATGCATAAAGAAACGTGATCTAGAATATCGGTATGTTATTTCTTTTTATGGTATCGTACGTGCTTAGATATGAATCAGAAACCTTCAAAGGGCCCGACACTGTATAAAGGGTTTTCATCGCACCATATGTTTCTTTGATCATTGAGATAGTTTGGGAATTTATGGCCTTTTGGAATTTCTTAATATTTAGGTAAACAATACCTTATATCTGCTGCCTATCGTATTTCATGATATTTTATTTCATAGGCTTATCGCAGAATCTGTTTCACAGAAATTAAATATTATAAAAAATAACAAATATAAAGTTTATCGTCTAAAAAAGATTTGGTATTGAACATATGTGCATACATAACTTTGAGAAGATAATTCTCTTCTAACTCTTTTACTTGAAACAACAAATTACGTCACAGCTAAAGCACTGGTGAAGACGCTAAATTGTCTTGCGTCGAAAGCGAATTAAAACCTACATAAAAACATCCAACGACGGCGTAGCGTCACTCGAAAGCTTCCGACGGACTGACGACAGTGACGACGCGTGTCACGGGGGAGGGGTGCGGTGAAAAGCGAGTAGAAGTAGCTGAGAGTATGGAGAGTAGAGGTAAGGAGTAACATCTCTGTATATGAAAAGTATCCGTCGAAATGCATTCAATTAGGGTGGCGCCACAGTAGCTTCAATGTAAATTTTAAAATAAGCGCCAAATATTATTAGAGTAGGATTGAGAAATAAACAAGGAACATAAATTTTACCCATAACTGTTTTGTTATTCACATACTTTTTCATAAAATTAAATGATAAAAAATAAACGTACTATTACAGTTCAAGAAATAAAATCACTCTAGCTACACGTTTTCTCATAATAATTCTTTAAGGTTATATTTTCTACATTATTACATAACTCGGCATACTTCAATTCGTTTACAATTGCTACATTCATACCATACCTACTACGTTCACCAGCGCCATTCTGGAAGGTTTTTGAACTATTATTTATAGAAAACGCTGGATACTTTTTCACATTTTCTCCCATAAGAGATGTTACTCCTTACATCTACTCTTCATATACAAGATAAATGATAGGTAATCACCAGTTTTGTTTTTTTTATAAACAACGCCATCCTATGGGAAATATTGTTATTACAAAGAACAAATTGTACGACAAGTTTTTTCATTATTTATTGATATTTCCTACATAATAAACTTTACTTAATATTATATAAATACAGCGCATATTAAAGATTACGATAAGAGTGGTATTGAAACAATTCCTGGTTGAATATATGATATTGACATTGATACAATGGCAAACATTATCGCGGTGCCCTTGGCATCTTGTTGCAAACGATTTAATTTGATTGGTTGTAAAAGTGGACTATCCTTTTTGCTAAAACAAATGACTATTTATTATCATTTATATACAAATATGTTAAACGAATATTGAAAATAAATTAATACCTTATGACAACCAGTCGATAAAGTGGTTCACCTGGATTTCCTTTTCTGTAATGCTGAGTATTTGAATAAACATTATACGATATTTTGAATTCGTTTCTTTTTTTTCTAACAGTTTTGTCTGGTGCATTTTTGATTATCCTAAGCTTATTATAAATCTCAGCAATACTCGACACACTTTTTGGTCCAACAAGAGGAGAAACACGTTCCTTAACTATCTCTATTTCAGTACTTTCAGAGTTATTAGTACAATCTTCGTCATCTATAGTAATGGTCCTTTCATCATGCCATTTATCTTTTAACTCTTTCCAAGATGTGACATTTGGTAAAACTTTGAACGATGATTGATACTCATTTTTGTCACTTTTGATATTTCCCGTAGATATACTGGGCAATCTATATCGAAATGATGTAATCAAGCAATGTAATCATTAAAAATTACATTTTAAAATATGTCGACAATAATAATAATAATAAACAAAAAATTAAGTACCTGTTTTGTTGTTGAGTATTTCTAAAAGATCTATAGTTTCTTGAATTTTCATACATGTAACCATGAGAATTATTGTGATTTATATTCCTTTGAATAAATGTACCTCTATTCTGCCAATATGTTTGATGGTAAAATGGAAATCTATTATTTGCAAACTGGTAAAATCCAACTCTTGAATATTGAACTGACTGCATGGTAAACAATGTACGCCGCATAAAATTGTTGGTGTTCGTATGCGTGTTTTGATTATAAAATATTTCGTTATTATCCCGAAAATTGGTATTAGAGCTACGTTGTATTTCTTGTACGTTTCGTTTAGAATTTTGCAAGCGCATTTTACTGTCGATTTCTGATAAATTTCTTAATCTTTTTGTTTCATATCGATATATATCTTTACAAAGCTTTATTGTATGTGGTATATAATTACGTGAAATCTTTAGTACAATGTCTGATCGTGAAGCAATATTTGGTAGTAACTCGAGTATCTCCATTCTCGTTAAAGTAGGAACAACTATCTGAATTTCATCATCAGAAAGATCAATCACCTATTTAAAGAAAAACTCATCACATGATTTGAACATGATTAAAACACACTTTAATTGAGTTTAATATCATCTATTGAATTAAGGATCATCGTACCTCTAATTTGGATTTCTTATTATTGTCTGATTGACTTCCACAAGATAGTGGTGGTTCTTTTCTCTTGTAAGTATTATTTCCTTCTAAATTTTTCGTTTCAGATTTATTATTAACAGACAACGAACTGATTTCTGACCTTTTCGGTAATAATTTGATATTACGCTGTATGCGTGAATCTGACCATTTTGTTACAAAAGTATCATTCTTCGTCATAAGTCTGTTTTTAACAGACAAAGTTTTCTCGCTAATAATTCTTATTTGCGAATTCAGACCGTTTTTACTATTGTCAACTTTTTCTCCTTCATTTATTGTTTTTTCCTCTTTTTTTGAATCTAATTTCGATTGATCATTTTCTAATTTGTTATTATAATATTTCGATATAAGTGATAAGGAATCATTTTTACATTCTATCGTACTTTTCATTTTTTCAATAATACTTTCTACATCTTTTTCGATCGTATTACTCGAAACTTTGTCAGATTTGTCAGTCTGCAGATGATTAGTACCTTCCAGTATATTTAAATCATCTTTAGAATTATCAAATTCTTTAGGTTGATTGTTTGCATCACGAGACTCTTTTCGTTCCGAGTCTCCCATACGCAAACCTTTTTCAGGTTCACCGATAACTTTTATTTTTAAGGAAACAGATTCATCAGGTGTCGCATTTTTAACTGAATTTTCATAATAAAATCGTTGTATGTGGTAACCATAGCGAGTTAATTGACTATAAACTCTGTATTCTTCTAAAGTACATTCTTTATTATCTATTAAAATGTCATATGCTTGCTGAATAGATAAAGCTACGCCATTCCATGTCAGTTCCAAACAGTTCTGAAAATATAATCAGTTTCATATTTATATTTCACATATTTCACATACAAATGATGAATTAATTGATTAAAAAAGAAAACAAAAAAAAGCTCTTTATATACCATCTCTAGAAGAAGCAACGATTCTTCTGGAAGCAAAAATAATGTTTTATTAACTTCAATACCAAAATTTCCCCAATCCTGGCCAGATTTTTTTATAACTCGTGCCTTTCTTGTCTGAGGTAACCATTCTGCAACTGCTAATTGAGAAATACGTTCTACCCTTTCGATATTCAATAAGTCCTTACAATTCTTCAAATTTTTTTCTATTTGAACATTTTCCAACCAAGAGTTATTTGGTTCATATTCTTTTTGACCAAATTTTGGTAATACTTTCTTTGATTCCTCCCACTCTGTATAAGTTTTGTACTTAATACCTTTATTTTGAATAAGTTGATCTGCCCTGAATAATAGATTTTTCAAAAAATTATTATTATTGTTATTATAGTATTATGAAATATTTGAAATTAAAAATATTGACTAAAGAAAAATATATAGGTTATGATAACGTAAGACAACGTATTTGTTTTATCAAATAATTTCATTTGTATACTAGAAACTTACGTTAAAGTATTTCCACATAATATTTCCTCTTTTTTATTCATTTTTATTCATATAATTATGGATCGATTGTGGAAACTGATAACACGTAATAATATTTAGTTACATTCTAAACATTATTCAAAACGTAAAAAAAAGAAGAAAAAAGTACAGTAGAAAAGTAAAATTAAATATAAGATTACTTTTAATGTTATATATATATACGATTTGACATAAAAAATAATTTACTTAATTAGATAAGTAATGTATATAATATAAAAATACAGATTTTTTTATTATACTTTCTTATTATCTCCCTAGATTTAAACTGTAACCACGGAGCCTAGATACCAGGAGATCGATCGACATAGGAAAATAACTAGCAAACGTAACTGGAAAAAAAGAAAAGATCATTTTCGGAAATACACCGCTAGGTTTCGTTATGTTCGCTAATGTCAAGTTTATAACGTCATTTTTTTCATTGACAATTGTTGACAATACTGCATCATTGACAATTGTATATTAATGTTTTTTTAATTTATAAAAAGTAATATTTATTTATAAATGGTAAATAAGTGTATTGTTCATGGGTGTACAAGTGGACGAGTCAAGGGTCTTAATAAGAATGCTAAATTAAATCAGAGAAATATGTCTTTATTCACTGTACCACAGGTAACATAACCTTAACTGATAGTTATTAATTACTAATATAAAAAAATGCAATGATGCAAATGTTTTTTAACTCTACTTATGCTATAAAAATTTGTAGTCTTGTAAAAAGTGTAGTTTACGATAATAAATTACAGTTTACTTTTAATTGGACTTTTTAAATTTAGTTTTCCATCCTTTATTCAACTGCGACTAGGTAAGATGAAATTGAATAAATTTACACAACAAGTTGACGATAATATCTTGGAAATAATTGTAAAATAATAAAACATTTTTTCTTATTGCTATGGTTAACGTTAATTATAAGATTTGATTAATTTATTTTGACTAACGCGTGAGTACAATCGTTACATTCCCGCGACAATAAACAAGGTTTTAAAAACCTGATAATAGCCACACTAACGCGCTCTAGTAGCAAAAGATCTGTCCCCTCATTTTCGGACATTTATAATACATTGTGATCGCCCTCCTGTTATCTAGGCTCCATGACATATAGAAGCACGGAGGATAGATACCAGGAGTCCGAACGTAATGTTGAAAGAATGGTATCAATTTAGGGGACAAAATATTTTGCTGGTAGGGCGCGCTGCTTTTCACAGAGTACTCGTTTAAATACTTACGCGGGAAGTCTTGTTGCTATTGACAACTCTGAAAAAAAATATTTTAAGAAACGTGGAATTGATATTATTTAAAAACTACACAAATGTAATAATCAATTATTTGTTAACATAAAATTTTAAATATTATTTTGAGGTTATTCACTTTTGGTGCTTTGAATAAAGCCACTTTTCTTAAATTCTCACTTGCCTTTCGGCCACTAAGGCAACCATAAACGGCACAACACTTTCCCATTTTTTAATAAAAATAATCCTAAAAAAATAAATTAATATTTTATATTTAATTTACGTGTAATAATAATAATAATAATAGTATCGATACGCTCTGAATACTTGCGCAGCCAGTGGCAAAAAAGAGAACTATGATCTGGGTCAAGAAATGACTACCACAAAAAATGTGAAAAATCCTATATCGTTCGGACTCCTGGTATCTATCCTCCGTGACATCACGAATAAATTTGCTTCACATATATTTCATCACAATTTTATTATGGGATGGAAACTATATTTACTCCGTATTATGGAGGGTATACTCCGTATGAAGGAATTTAAAATTTCTAGAAAATAATACAAGAGGGCAGCACAGTGAAAATTCCGATTTGGGCAGGAATATTTGAAAAGAGGAAAATTATCATTAAATTATATTGTGCAAACTGGATTATCGTACAATTTTGTCACATAACAACATTTTAATATTTAATCGTACATGGTGCTAAAAATTATGTGTTGTATACAATAATTATGTGACGAATGTTAATTGTGATTTAGTTGGATTAAAAAGAACGTGGCGCCATTTAAATGAGTATAGTTATAAAGCATAGATTATGTAACTTGTGACTTAACGGTCGAATTATTCTATTTAGGGTTATTTACAATTTGGTTGTTGAAACTCTCCATAATGTCGCGTAAATGAGTATTGTCTTATGATTTGAATGCACGTGCCCTCTACCACACATGTAAACAAATGGTTCGCAGAACGTAGAAATGATACTGATTCTAGGAAAGAGTTAATGAAATTTGGATTAAATAGAAATATGCGATTAGGTAAATATATTTTATATATTTAAAAACTTTGCAACGTGTTTATTTGTCAATGCTATATTTAAATATCATATTATTAATTAACAGTAAAAAAATAATTATCATTTGTAAGAGCAACCTTTTAACAAACGTAATAGTCATCCTATTTTCAACTATTTATTTTATATTTATTGCCACTATTTTTTTGCCACAAATTTTCTTTACTTTTAATTAAATGATTCAGTTCTCAATAGATATTTGAATGAAAATTTCAGAGACCATCGATATCAAGGACAATAGCGATTTTTATTGTTAAATAGCAACTTTGAAAGATTTACGTAATTTTCATTAATTCAGATATCGATATGGCGTTATTTGATTTACCAGAAGTTCTAACAGATGAAATAGCATTGGAAGGTTTAGATGGTATTACTTTACAAGGTAAATTAGTGTTTTCTTGACACATGTCCTTAGGTACTTTTCATGTTGATACATCATTATTTTTTGTTTTAGCTTTATGGTTACGTTTGGCACAAAGATTTAATAATCCTTCATTGTGTACAGAAGATTTTAAGAATGAAGTATGGTCTGTATGTGTAAATCTTCCAGAAGTTACATTTTATAAATTAAAAGTGCCAAGAAAACCACTTGTTATATATGATCGTTATGAGTTTGTAGATCCAGATCTTGGTATTATACTTGAGCCAGTAAGTGAGAATCTAAACATGTGTAATCATTATCCTATAATTTTATATTTAATTTTATATTTATTTTCTTTCAGGATAATATTCCAGAAGATATTTATCCTTTTGTTCCTATAAATGATCCAATTGCAGGAGTTAAGGGTTCCTGTTCGACTTATAAGACTCGTAAAGTTATAACTGATGATATCAAAAGTTATACTTTAGAGGAAGTAACGAGAAAATATGATCAAACATTGGTGATTGTTGCGTCTCAAGCTACAAGAGTGAAAGCATTATTGGCCGATAAATCATCTTTTATATTGAAATTAAGTATTATGCATTATTGTTTCCTTGAAAAAGTTGGAAGATCGCGTTATCATGGTGAAGTAACGCAGGGAAAACTTAGTCTTAGTTCGTTAAAAGAAGATCATAGAACATTGTTTTATCATAGAAAGTTTTTACTTCGTCACAAATTGATCACAAAGCAGACGCATCATCAAAAAACAGCAGGCCATAGTGGTACTGGTAGTTTATTACATTTACCACGATTCTTTGTAGAAAGGAAACCAAAAATGATGTTCTTGGCTGAACAAGTCATTGAGATACTTAAAACGAAAAAAGATTATATTGCTGAATATGAAGAAATTAAGAAGAAATTGCAAATTGAAAATTCTATTCAAAAATTAGTTAAAACATCTTTTTTTCAAAAGGCAGTAAAAACAGATGTGGTAAGTGAGACATGTATATATATATTACCGTGAAAGACTGAAATTAAACAATGTCAAGATTCACATGGTCACTTGGTATATGTCTGGAATATTAATGTATAAGAATAAACCCAAATATTCTGTCTTTCATTGACGTATTTGGTATGTCTTGATATTTTATCATATGAATTTTGACATTATTCAATTTAGATCTTTTTTGTGAAGGCACCAGTGGTCGACCAGTTAAGAAAATTTTTTATCTTAAATAGTGGTAACTTCTTGCATTTTTATTGAATAGTAGATTTTGATACGTGAAGATATTCTTTGAACTTCGGTCGTCATATAACAAAGGATATTTTTTGAAAAAAGTTGTTTTACACGAAAATAATAAACATTAATGGAAAGTCAATTACTGCATAAGTAGTTGACTATTTATACTAGAGCCAAAATCAATAAAAGCAATCATTTTAATATCGTTTATTTACATTAATTAGAAGAAATAACAACTAAAATGTCAAAAACAAATGAATAGAAGTTCATTTCTGAAAATTAATAAAAAATAAAGTTAACTATAATTCCATATCGAATCTAATTAGTAAATATTTCGAAAGATATTTAACAAAATATGAGACTACTGAATTGTTATAAAAGTTTTCTAAAGAAATTTGAATTGTTTTTAAAAATTTATTAAAAAATTTATTTACAATGAAATGCTCTGAAACAGTCTATACAAAGTTGGGGTTGATCAGGGCAATCCGGGCAAAACGTTATTGTTCTTTTTACATTTAATCGTGCTTTTGATCGTTCCGTAGGAAGTCTTATATTCGAATAATATAATTTACAAGCTCTTTTAATTTTTTATCCAAGAGCATTTTTTCGGATAGCAATAATATGATTACATTGACCTGAGAATTTATTTATATTATCAGGCAGTCCTAATAATTTCAGAGCTAATATTTTTCTAAATTTTCTTACATTTATGTTTTTTGTTGTTGCAATTTGTAAATGATTAAAGCATTTACAACTGTAATGCCTAGAAGAAGCTGGATACCAAGTTTTCGGTACCATTTGAGTCCTTTTCTCATTGTACTGGCATAAGAAACCATTTGATCTGAATAATCAATTCCACACTTTCCTTTATTATACACAAGAACAGCTAGTGGTTTCAATTTTTCTGATGAATGTTGGCTTGTAGAAGCAGCATGAATATTACGAATATTACTTGGTGCCATGATGGGAGCATGCTTTGTTGATAAAATTCTTATGTCCCGCGAATCTCTCCATTTAAGTACGACAATATCATTATTATCTTATTTGGATACCATTTCTCCTTTTTTTAATTTGCAATTAAAAATATCTTCTGGTATGAACTTTTTGTTATTTTTAAGTGTTCCAACTACACGAGTCTTTCGGTTTAGACATGATATAGCTAATTCATAGCTTGTATAAAAATTGTCAATATATAATGTTCGTCCTTTGTGGAAAAGTGTATCTGTAAGTTGTAGGCATACATTGTGTGCTAATCCTGTTTCTCTAATCCCGTCAGCTGACTTACCAGGATAAATTTTCATTGACCATGTATATCCTTCGCTTGAGCATAATTTAAATAATTTGATTCCGTATTTATGTGCTTTATTCGGTATATATTGTTTAAATATGAGTCTTCCGCGCCATGGAATCAACGTTTCATCGATTACAATGTCTTCCCCGGGCCTGAATGTTTCTTAATATTTTTTCTGAAGTTTGTCGACAAGTGGAAGTATTTTTCTAAGTTGATTCTCAGAGGCAGTAGACATATTATCAGCAAAATGAAAGTAACTAAGTAGTATTTTAAATCTATTTAGTGGCATAATATTATGTGGTAAATGAAAATTATATAAAGGGCTTTTCGACCAATAATTTGATATAGGGTTTACTCTTACAAATCCCATCCATAAGATCAATCCTAAAAATTTTTTTATTTCTTCAGAATTAGTTTGTTTCCATCTATGTATCCGTGAAGATGGGGATAACTCAGATATATTTAAGTTTCGTTCAGCATATCGATTTGTTTCTAATACAAGCAGGTCTATTATTTCGTCATCAATGAACAAAGCAAATGCATCATAAGGATTGACATCGCTAGGTACTTCCCTAAGAAGGCCTCCGTTTCCAGTAAAAGAAAATGATTTTTGCCGAGAATTAAATTCATTCCATTCACTAAATTGAATTGTGCATTCTTTGGCATCAACATTTCTTTCTTCCTCAAAAACTAATTCTTGTAAAATAGCCCAAATACTATCTTCATATTGAATATCACTCAAGCATTTATCAGTATCCAAATCAGAATCAGACGTAATTCCATTTATATTTTTCTTTTTAAAAAATCTCGGCTGTTCTTCATGGCTACTATCAGAATTTTTGTAAGCCTTGTAACAGGCTTCTTTATTACTACATGATTTTTTAGAAGATAACTTTTCTATTTTTCTTTTTGACATCACAAAAAATTAGGGAAAAAATTATAACGCAAAGAAATATTAACTATTCGTTACTACTGAACAAAAATTTGATAGAGAAGAAATAATTTTCGAATCTCACACCCTTTCTTAGATACTTCGTTCTCGAAATAAGATTTTCAACTAAATGCATATAGTGAAACATTTCGTTCTAAACGTTTGTTCTAAACTTATCTTTTGTTGTAAGGAGATAAGAAACAAAAAAGCCTAAATAAATAACAAAAAAAGATTATCCTCTCCATAGGATAAGACTTTCTTTCTAAATGGAACATTTTATTACAATAAGTAACTATTGACACAGTATCGATATACAGGGTGAATCTTGTAACTAGGACGGGTAATAACTTTTTTTTAAGTAACAATAGAGAAAAATGATAAAGGAAAAAGTTAAATGGCACAACAAATGTCAACTTTCTATGACCTTACTTTTTTTGAAAATGCATCGATGCACTCGCTAGATGCAGTTGCACTTATTTTTTAAATGGAACTTTATATTTCTTTTTTAACCATTCGATTCCTTTCTTTATTCTGCGTAAAAAAGTATTAAGTGAAGGTCATCGAAATGTCAATAGTTTACGAGATATTTGATGTTTCATACAGCAATGTATTTTATTACAATAAATGTTCGAATGTTCCTCCATTACATTCTAAACATTTTCTAATGCGCTTTTTTACATTTTTTAATTACATTTTTTAATTGATTTGTATTGATATTTGAACAATACATTTTTATACGCTTTTTTAAATCATCGACTGATATATGTAAAAGGACGTCAATATTATTATTATTAATTGGCATTAGGAACTCGAAAGTTCATTGCCGCAAATACCAAATCCCGCCATTGTTCCCGTCATTGAGCGTGATCCTTCCATTCGCGGTCTTCGTATCCTATTTCTTTCAGGTCCCTTCTAATATTATCCTCCTATGTACGTCTCGGTCTACCTAGTGGTCTTTTCCCGTTTGGTATACCGACCAATATTTTGTGCGCCGTTCGATCCTCCCCCCATGCCACGTGACCAGCCCATCTTAATCAGCGTGACTTTACGACGTTGATAATGTCCGGTTTGTTGTACAATCGATGTACTTCAATGTTATGGAGTTTTCTCCATTCGCCCGTTTCCTCATCGCGTTTTGCACCGAAGATTTTACGAAGAACTTTGTTTTCGRAAACCCTAWATTTCTTTTCGTCCCGTAACGTAAGCGACCACGATTCGCTACCATAAAGAACTACCGGCTGGATGATTGTCCTGTATATCCTGATTTTTAATCGCCCAGACAGCAACCGAGAGCTGAGTAATTTGTTAACCGACTAGAAACATGAATGGCCTAGATTGATTCTTTTCTTTAGTTCTTCGTTAATTTCGTTCGTCTGGTTTATGATCGATCCTAAATACCTAAAGTTGCTGACCCGCTCAAAAGTTTTATCCCGGACGACCAAAGTTCCAGTACTA